TCCTGGCACCCGGGCCGCTTCTGTATGCAGACCGCCGCGCGCGGCGCGTGGACACCCCACACCGGCGTGGCCCCCTACACTGGCACGACAAAAGAGGAGGAGGCACAGAAGGGCCGATACGCCTTCTACCTCGCGGGCACGACGTCCGCCGCGACGTCTGCGGCGGGCCAGACCGTCGTGCACGCAGTCGACGCCGCGGCGCCCCTAGGCGACGCGCTGCGCGACATAACGGTCCTCGAGTTTCCCACACTCTACGTCGTCGAGGCCGGCGCCGCGCTGCCCAGCTTCCTCCTGGAGGAAGCGAAACCGGTGCGGCTCGTGCCGCAGAAGCGGAAACCCGAGACCCAGGTGCCGGGCAAGAAGGGCGGCGCCAAGGGGGGCAAGAGGGCGCGCCGCCACCTCGAAGACGGCGAGCTGCCGAGCGACGGGGAGGAGAGCGATGTGCCCGACGGCGACGTCGATAGGTTCGCCGCCGCCGTCGAGCAGATCATCGCCGAGGAAAGCCTGGGCGAGGAGGATGACGACAGCACGACGAGCAGCTCCGGGTCCGACTCGGAGAGTGATGAATACGTCAAGGCAAGCCTCGCTGCCAAGTTGGCGCTCCTCAAAGGGCAGCAGGCGTGAGACATGGTGTGTGTGTGTGTGTGTGTAACTTGACACAGATAGTGTAAATATTTAGCATGATACCCTCGAGGCACTGCGGAGCAGCTGATTATGTGCAGCCCTCCCACGTCACGAACCAGATTTTGAACAAGTGGACTGGAACGGAATATATCACAACGGGACCGCGAGGATACGATGAGCAGCCGCTGCTTGCTTCATCAACTAGCGGAGAAAAGTGTTGCTACTTTTGGACGAGACATCCCCAACAACCTTCCTTCACCACCATTTGATGGCCAAAATGCCTGCAATATGCCTTTGATGGCTGTCAAAACCTCTGTGGATATCACCCGTTACGTCATTACGTTCCCGATGTAGAGCCATTCGTATCATCAATCCATCGTTCATTGCCGCCTGAAAAACGACCGCCAGAAAACTCATAAAGTGTCTGTTTGACCCCCGAAAAAATTCCGACCACCCACGTTTCAGCATCTCATCTTCCCACTCCATTTCTCTAAGATGTGCCCATCACAACCGTGTCGTGTCAGGTTCATATTGGTAGAAAGGCGAGGATGAATCGGGACGTCGAAACCAAGATTATGGGTCTAGACGGGTATTTGCCGCAATATGCGCGTAGAAAAGCAAGAAAGTTCAAGTCATCTAAGTAGAAAGCTTAGATGAGCATGGCTGCGAAGCCAGCAGCGGCCAAGAAGCCAGCAACCGGGACAGCAGTCTGCTTGGCAGCCTAAGTGAAGGACTATCAGCATCGACTGATAGATGAATATATTGGGGGTCTCGGGTGACTTACGTTGCCGGTCTTAGAGGTGCTGGTGGCCTGGCCACTCTCGGTCGCAGTGGCACCCTCGCTCTGGGTCTCCGTGGGAGTAGCGGTAGAAGCCTCCGAGGCATCACTGGCCTGACTGGAAACGGCGCTGGAGGCGTCGGAGCCAGTGGGAGTGGACAGGATGGTGGTCATGCCAATGGTGGAGGTGACAACAGTGTCACCATCGGTGATGGTGCTAACAATCGGAGCGGTAGTGACAGGGACACCAGCAACACCCAAGATGGTGGTCTCGCCAACAGAAGTGATGGTAGATCCGTCACTGGTGATGACAGTGGTGAAGGACGAGGTAGTGACCGGGCTGGGAGTCGCAACCGCACTGCCGCCAGAGACAGAGGGGGTGATGGTGGTCTCACCAACAAGGGTGGTGAGGGTGCTGCCACCAGAGGTGATGACAGAGAACATCGAAGAGACGACAGGGGCGGCCGTGGCGGTCGCAGAGCCAGCGGGCTGAGTGACAGTGACACCGGGGGTGGCCTCAACGGCAACGCCAGCCTCTGGGTTTGTTGTTAGTCCCAAAGAGCCAAGCTTGGAAATGGAAAGTGTCACTTACGGCGGCAAAGCTCAATGCCGGCGGCAACAGCCTGCTGGGCGTCACCAGATTGCTGGCAAGACTGAAAAGAGCAGTCACGAATGCCGTAGGTGAAGTCAGGGTTGCGGCAGAGACAGGCGGTATCGCCAGCAGTGCAACCAAGGTTGGTGGCAAGGCTTTGCATGTTCTGGATGCAGGTGCTCTGTGTAGAAAAACAGGTCAGAATCATTAGTGCTTTGAGACACGCAAATTTCAATCCCAAGAACCGCCCAGAATCGGAGCACACTTTTTCCATGTGACCAAATCCTGCTGCGATCGAGGCAAAGCGAGAGAGACAGAGAGAGAGAGGTGCCAAGAGTAGAAACAAGTGAGTACGCTTACACCGCAGCCAGCGAGGCTCTGAGCCAAGGCACCGGACAGAAGGCCAACACCGAGGTAGATGACAGACTTCATTGTGAATGATTGCCGGTGTATGGAACTGTAAGTCTGAGTGGAGTGAGCGAAGTGTGACAACTGATGTCGACGATGTGAACCTGCGCAGACAAAGGGTCAGAGAAACTCGAAATGTCGTGGCAGAGTTGAGGCCAAGAAATAACCAGCGCAAATGTAAGGGCAATGGGAACAAGGAAGCAGGAATACCTGGGGAAAAGAGCGTTTGTTCTTGAGGAGACGATAGCGCAAAGGCTGGCGATACTGTAGAATGAGAGAGATGATGAAGTGGAAGTGGGAAAAGAAGAATTCTTTGTGCTGGTGGGAAAAGGAAAAAGAAAAAGGTAGTGGAGGGTAGCCTGGTTGTGAAGGGTAACAAGTGTAACGCAAGTTTGGGAAGCCGCGAATGAGCGAAGGTGCAGTGTAACCGGGGAAGGAAAGAACGAGAACGAGAACAGGATTGAAATTGCGCAGGAGCGCGCACTTTCCCGTGCTGCTGGATTGTTTCTTATTCACCCGGTGATTGAGTAGGCAGAACCCACACCAAGCTAAACGGGCGAGTGAAGGGAGTTGGGAATGCAAAGGGAGCCCGCAAGTGATCAACCACCTTTCCCAAGGAGTTTGTGACGGAGAGACATTAGTTATGTGTTGACTTACCTGCGATTGGGGTTGGTGAATTGTATGTTTTGCTGAGTCTGAAGACTGTCGAGAAGTGTGCTCTGGAAGGGTTTCGATAACGGAAGTGTATTGTTGACAGGAAAAGTGTGGTCTGGGTGAAGCAGGGTGATGAGTCGAGGCGTCTTGGTTGATAGGTGTGACTGTTATTATTCTAACACGCCGTACAAAAGGTCACGTGGATTAGAGTACCTGGGTTGGAGATGAATAGGGTGAAGCAGGTAAACAAGAAGGGGATAGGAGGTGCCTTCCCGGGTTTAAATCAATTGGGGTGTCAGGCGTGGAAACGCAGTTGGGCTACAAACTGGAAGCAGGCGCGAGCTGTGAACCCGATGCTGCTCTTTCCCACCCCGAGACTGGGTGTAGCTATCTACCTACCTACCTACCTAGGTACCCTGTTGATCTGGCTTGAAGTTGTCGGGCCTTGTTGTGGTACAGTACGCAAGTGGCATCTGTCATCGATGAGCGTCACCAAATATTACCCTTGCACACTGCTGGATTTGCCTCTTGCGCTTGCTCTGACGTTGACATGGCGCTAGCCAGCAAATGAGAGGCCACCCGGAGCCAAGGTAGTAGTAGTCTGCCGGTGTGGATATCTGACATTGTATCATTCGTCTAGTGCTGCAGTAGAATGGCGCCGGATTGACGTCCACAACTCTCGGCCCCATGCAAAGCTTATTGCTCCACGTAGCTCTGGCAAAAAACCCTGCTGAAGAAATCATACTTCAGCCACAGATGCCGGGCTGCATCTTGATTCAAAGCCGCTGCCAAGATCTGAGAGTCACCGGCCCGGTGGCTGGCAGACCGGCAGAAAACTGGTTACGCTTTTCCTTGAAAGGCAAGCAGCTGATACCTCGCCTTGAACAACAACAACAAGAGGTTGCGCTATCTATTTACACGGAGGGATTAGCTCCCGTCGAGGTGTCTCAATGCAATGCCTCGACGCCCTGCTGTTGCGGGTCAACACGGGCTCATCACAAAGAAGTGTTGAAGCCGTGTCCTGCTTCCGGGCTCGAACGTGATCCTGGCTAAGACCGAGTCTCCTGCAATCCCCAGCCGGCTCATAATTAAACACAGCTGCTGAAAATCCCGATCCAAGCTTCCAAGAAGTCACAACAAGATGCAGTGCCATGTGTTATTGTTTGGTCCAAGCTCTGACCCACTTTGACCGCAATTTTATCAGATAGTTTTTTTGGGAAGGCTGGGGGCGGGGTGGGGGGGGGGGGGGGGGGGGGGTTGATTGTAAGTAAATCTGGTTACTCCTCGTGCACGATTCCATGCTCCCAGGCAAACAGAAGGGGATGCGTTCCCCTGCAGGAGGCACATTGAGCGGCGGTAAGACTTGACGTTTGCGTTCGGGATTCGTTCGGCTTCAGGATATACACGTAGCAGCTTTTTTCACCGCGACCGTCTTGATTTGAATGCCTTGTGGTGAATGCTATTGCAACCTCACCGCGTAGAGCAGCCATCTACTTGGAAGGGGCAGCTGGAACTTGGCGGTCAGCCCATGGTGACGGTGACAAGATGCACAACAGCAGGTTATGGCAAGTAACAATGGAAGAAAGCACCGTTGCGGGCCGGATGCTGCTTGGCCATAGAGGGGAAGTCATGGTTAGAATCAAGGAAAGAGATGCTAGCAGGGGTGAGGATCGTCATTGCACGGCCATCGCAGCACCAAGGGGGAATGAGGTCAATACCACACAGAGACCTCGTCTGATTCGCTTAATGGTTCCTGGAGCTGTCTGCTGTGTCATTAGGGGCTCTTGATTGGACAGAGCTTGCCAAAAAGGAAAGGACGGGAAATGGGAATGACAAGGGGGGGGGGGGGGGGGGGGGGGGGGGGCATTTGGGAATCGAAAAAAGTCAATTCCCGCATTCCAACCAAGTTCATCTCATATCTCACTTGTTTTTTACTGTCTGTCATGAGAACACACACTCAATTACCGCGAGCTGGTGCTTTTCTGCGAGTCGACCTGGCTCCCAGTAAAGAAACAAAAAACCGACTCGTATTGCTGTCATGACATACAAACGCATCATTTCCAAGCTAGGCTCTCGCTTGAAGACACAATAGGCCTAAAAGCCTACGGTACAACTATACCGCGCTATTCGTCGATAGAATGTTGGCAACGCGGCGCCTGGAGATCTGTACACGGCAGTACTTCGTACATGTCTCACGCAGTAGCACCGGCACCAGCTTTGCATCGCGGTTTTTGTGTCGGCACATCCGTCAGGTACCGTCCGCTCTGGGGGTGCCCAACGTTGCGCTGCCTCTTTGGCCACACCAGGGGCTGGTTGCTGCTAAGGACGCTTGGCAGGATCTCGTCCCGTCCTCAGCTTGGCAAGGATCTGTCGCGCAATCAAAAGTACCTACTGTACGGATACTCCGTAGTCCTAACCATTTTGACCTTTTTCTTTCTCTTTCTCTCCCGCCCCCAGCGCTAAGCCAATGCAGGCAGTTGGCCTCCAGAACGAGAAAACCTATAGCTAGCTCTTACCCAGCATCGTTGGATGGCAGTGGTGTCTCACATTTGAGAGTCGGAGAATGTGCAGCAATCTCGGGTCATGCACTCCGAGACAAAAGAGATGATGAGCCTGCCAACTAAATGAACAATCATTGAACTCTGATATGTTAACGACTTCGACCTTCACACCCGTCTTGAACACGTCCCCATCGCGCTATGTATTGCCTAGCTCTGAGGGGAGGAGACTCTGACGTACTAGACTCTTCAGTAGCTTATTCATATTATCCACGTCGCACCTCGCCCGATGATCTGAACGACACCAGCCACCGGCTCCACAATCGCGGCCGCTAAGAACCAACAATGGATCACGGCTTGCTCCGGAGACCGCTGGAATCATCCAACTCTTTGACTGTCTCTTACTGGCCTTGCCAACGAAACAAAGAGAGCCTGCCGGGACTCTGATGTGCTGGTAGCAAATATGCGATGCGTATCGAGAAAAGTGTGTCATCCCTGCCGACTTCTGAACTACTTACAATTCATGTGCGGATCTATGCGTTCCTCTCCCATATGCCAGACCCCCTTTACCCTTCCGTTCACACTTCATACTTCTTTAGATATGTTCTCCCCTTGGAGTTACATAAAGGAGCAGACAGCCGCCTGCCCACCCCCCTACCTCCGTGCTATCTAAGAAAGTGCGACCTTTGTGTTGTCTTCCCAAGTGGCACGAAGCAAGCAGCCGAAAATATTGCGAGACAAATAAGCAACGGCCCAGGTATAAGATGTCCACGAGAGTAGCCAGACCTTACGACAAGATGAGGGTCGGTGATTGTAAGCAAGTATGTTGTTGGGACGGCAGCAGCTCAAGGTTCTGAAGAAAGATTTGCGAGAGAGAATAGCCTAGTGCGGGCTTACTGCTAGCGAAGATGAGCTTTGCGGTTTGGCAACACATGGGGCCGACGAAAGACGCGGTTGAATACGATGAATCCTTTGTTGTCGGCGAGTCAGAAACAATATTCACCGACACTGAAAGCGGGAACGCGACAATTTAGATACCAGGAAAGTAAACTACGACTCCCCCACGAGAGCGAATGCTCGAGCTGCGGGTCCCTTGATCTTTTAGGACCGGTAACAACACTCCCGCCTCCATCCATTGTCTCCCCTGCAGTTCAGGCCGGAAGGCGGAAGCCAGTAGAGCCAACTAATACCGAAATGAGAGCGACAACTTGCGGTGATGTGTACTGCCATCTATTGCCATCATCAAGGCATGTTCTTGTCGGTCTGTGTATGGCCAGGTTCGGAAGCCGATCCCGAAGCCTGATAAGCGTGACGATTTCCACCGTCTTTGTCTACTCTTATACAGTTTAGAGTTCCAGCTTGTCCACAATGTTGTTGTGATCGGTAATTCGGCAAGCTCCCGCTTGTAATATGCAATGTCTACCTGGGCCAACTAGCTGAAGGAGAAGAATGGCGGGTACACGAAAGGAAGTTGTCGCTACGCAATACGTTTGGTTTGGTCAGACCCAAACGTTGTCCTTGTCTTTCGCGTCTTTCGCTGGCTGTTTTGTTTGCTGTCATCGGCATGACAGGACAGGGTGTGCTCGGGGGGAGTGTTTCCGAACCGTTGAAGAGGTGTTGACAATCACCGACAGAAGCCCTTTAATCGAAAACAAAACGATTTTACTACTTACTGCTCAAAGACGGGCAACCAACCCAAATAAATCCTGCCTGCCCAAACGCCAAACAGTGTGCTGCTGGAATATCCATACGCAGCTAATACAAGATGTACACAACACAAGAATCAAGTCCACGGGCCAGTGTGCCTCCGCAGACCACTGTGCGTCAAACAATTACAGATACGGTGTCCATGACCAATGCCACCCTTAAGCCCCAAACCAACTATTACCAACGTGGTAACGTAGGAAAATGCCCGAACCTCCTCATGTGCCATCAACGCGTTTCATCAACCATCAAAATCCATCATGCCTACTACTCATGCTCTCTCTAACCGCTGCACATGACGCAGGATTCGGGGTTCTCAATGCTACCTTTGAGTACGTTAGCAAATGCTTCAACAACTGATATGCTGCTTGTTTGATGACTTACAGGCAAGAACAGCCTCGGAGTAGATGTCCATCTCACGCTCCTTGCTGTCTTCGGTCTTGTCCTCGACATCAGGGGTCTTGCTCCCGGCGACGGGGAGCTCCTCGATCTTGAGCGCCTCCGCAGGCTCAGTAGGCAGGGCACGAGGGCTGTCACCCTCAGCCACATCAGCCTTCATGGTATCAGGCTTCTGCGCGGGAGCAGACCGCGGGGGAGGAGGGGTGACGCTGGGTGTGGGAATGCCGTTGTCTTGTGCAGAAGAGTCCTTCTTGGCGTACATAGGCCGAGGGACGTTCACGACGGGGGCAGCGACATGACCAGGGGGCGGCGCGCGCTTCTTGAGGACCTTGCCGACGGCACTGTCGGCGACCTTCAACGCCTCTTGGTCGACGGTGAACTGGATGGGAGCAGCAGCAGCCTGCGTGCGCAGGTAGTACATGCCCGTCTTCAGACCGAGCTTCCAACCAGCGAAGTGCATGCTGGTGATCTTGCCCATAGTTGGGTCCTTCATGTGGATGTTAAGCGACTGCGACTGGTCGATGAAGGCACCACGGTCGGCAGCCATCTGCACGACGGTACGCTGGGAGATTTCCCAAACGGTCTTGTACAGTGCTTTGACCTCGGTAGGGATGTTGGGGATGTTCTGAATAGAACCGTTCTCGGCAATGATACGGTTTTTCATAGCATCAGACCACAGGCCCATGTCGACGAGGTCCTTCAAGAGCCAAGGGTTGACGACCTGAAACTCGCCAGCAAGGACACGGCGCTGATAAATATTGGAGGTGTAGGGCTCGAAGCACTCGTTGTTGCCCAAGATCTGAGAGGTGCTGGCAGTCGGCATGGGAGCGACAAGCAGAGAGTTGCGGACACCATGCTGCTTGATCTGCTCCTTCAGAGAATCCCAGTCCCAGAGATCCGAGGGCTTGACATTCCACATGTCGTACTGGAGGATGCCCTGAGAAACAGGGGAACCCTCGTACGTCTCGTAAGGACCCTCCTCCCTGGCCAACTGCACCGACATGGTAAGGGCAGCGTGGTAGATTGTCTCGAATATCTTCTTGTTGAGGTCGCGAGCTTCGGGGGACTCAAAGGGCATGCGGAGAGCCAAGAAGGCATCGGCAAGACCCTGAACACCGAGACCAATGGGGCGGTGGCGCATGTTGCTATTGCGAGCCTCCTGGACGGGGTAGTGGTTGACGTCGATAATTCTGTTGAGGTTGCGAACAACGACCTGGGTGACCTCGTGGAGCTTCTGGAAGTCGTATACACCCTCGTTGTAGTCAACGAAGGTGGGCAGGGCGAGCGAGGCCAGGTTACACACAGCGACCTCATCAGGCGCGCAGTACTCGATGATCTCAGTACAGAGGTTGGAGCTGCGGATAGTACCCAGGTTCTTCTGGTTGCTCTTGCGGTTGGCAGCATCCTTGTAGAGCATGAAGGGGTTGCCGGTCTCGGTCTGAGCCTCGAGAATGGCATACCAGAGCTTTTGGGCCTTGATGGTCTTGCGACCTTTGCCCATCTGCTCGTACTTCTCGTACAAGGCCTCGAACTCCTCCCCGTAGCAGTCGGCAAGACCAGGGCACTCGTTGGGACACATGAGAGTCCAGTCTCCGTTCTTCTCCACTCTCTTCATGAACAGATCGGGGATCCAAAGAGCGAGGAAAAGGTCACGGGCGCGGACCTCCTCCTTGCCATGGTTCTTGCGAAGATCCAAGAAGTCAAAGACATCAGCGTGCCAAGGCTCAAGGTAGATGGCAAAAGCACCGGGGCGCTTGTTGCCACCCTGGTCAACGTAGCGAGCAGTATTATTGAAGACACGGAGCATGGGAACGACACCGTTAGAGGTACCGTTGGTGCCAGCAATGTAAGAGCCGGTAGCGCGGATGCGGTGGACATTGAGACCAATGCCACCGGCCATTTTGGAGATCATGGCGCAGGTCTTGAGGGTGTCGTAGATACCCTCGATAGAGTCCTCCTTCATATCGACCAGGAAGCAAGAAGACAGCTGAGCCTGGGGGGTGCCGGCGTTGAAGAGCGTAGGAGAGGCGTGAGTAAAGAACTTGCTCGACATCAGGTTGTAGGTTTCGATGACGCGTTCAACGTCATCGCCCCAGATGCCAACAGCGACACGCATTATCATGTGCTGAGGTCTCTCGGCAATCTTGCCGTCAAGCTTCAGTAGGTACGATCTCTCCAAGGTCTTGAAGCCGAAGTATTGGTAGTTGAAGTCGCGGTCGTAGACGATGGCAGAGTCAAGCTCCTCCTTATGTCTCATGACGGCGTCATATGTGTCCTTTGCAATCATGGGCGACGGCTTGTTGTTCTTGGGGTTGACGTAGTGATAGAGGTCGCTAACAACCGAAGACCATTGCTTTTTGGTCTGCTTGTGGAGGTTGGAGACTGCGATACGAGCAGCGAGAATGGCGTAGTCGGGGTGGGTGACGGTCATGTAGGCAGCAGTCTCAGCGGCCTGTTCACGATATTGTTAGCACTCGATTTGCGAGACGCGAGGGGTGATCCTTACCAAATCGTCAAGCTGCACAGTGGTGACTCCGCCATAGACACCGGAGATGACCTTCTGAGTAATGGCAACGGGGTCGACATGGTCCATGTCGAGGCCATAGCATAGCCTCGAAACTCTGGCAGTGATCTTATCGAACTGGACACGCTCCTGGCGTCCATCTGCACCGAATTAGCCTCCGGGGTCTCAGAGTCACAAGTCTGGACTGAACGCACCGCGCTTTCTCACAAACATTGTGCCTTAGTAGGGCTGTGAGAAATATGGGAAATGGGGTTGTATTGTCGTCTCACAGGAGACGAAGACCACTCGGAAGTGCGAAGGCGTGAAGGATAACTGTGCAAGAGGGGTATCAGAAGCACCAATGATTACGATTGTATCTGGTGCAGGAAGAAGAAGAAGAAGAAGTCAAGAGTAAGTGGTGTTTGAATTGTGCAGGAGGGGGAGAGAAGGTCAGCAGGCTCCCAGAAGGTGCTGCAGATACTTATGGCAGGCCGGGTTCGCGTAGAAACGCGTCGACGCCAAATGACTTTTAGCGCGACTAGACAGGGGCTGGGGGGTAAGTTCAAGGCATCAATAACAGATTGGCTAGGAAGAAGTGGCTTTGGGCCTTGACTGTCAGGCATCTCCGCCCGTGCCCCTCGGTTCACGTTCGCATCCCCGAGCCAACAATCGATGGAACACGCTTGAAGCTTTTTGCAACGCAAGGTACCTCTTCTTTTCATGGTGGCAGCCAGGCTCTTGCAGCTGCGACCACTTGACTAATGTCGCGACTAGCTTGCAAATCAACTCTGACAAAAGTCCAAACTCCACTGTGGATGTTCATTCTTATTCAGGCGCGGGTTGGTTGCCGGTTGCAACAAGACATGATTTCACTCCGCGTGAATGTCTTGCTTGGAATGCATTTAGTATCTTTAGTTGAATTTTAAATGTCCTTGAGTGCACGCGTTTTGGTAGCCCACCCCACCTAAGTGACGCGATATACTTCAATGAGGTTGTCTGTAGCCACTTTACGCGTCTACCCTGCTTAAGCCTCTGGCCGCCCGCCCTTGCAGACAGACGCTCGCTGCATCACGGTGTCACGTGACCGAGGTCAAAATCAATTACATGACCTCTGTCTGACGATGAGGCCAAACGACGCCATAACTATATCTACCAGCCCTTTCTCCTCTTTTCTTAGAACCGTCTGATGAAGATTGAATCGTTACCATCATTAATTCATGAGGGTCTCATCTCTCGGTTTCACCAGAGCACGGCCAGCCACTCTCATTCAGTTTCTGCCCAGAAGGGCCTTTTCCCATTCATCATCGTTCATAGTCACAATGGCAACCCCTGCAGAGTCACTCCCGTCAGCCTACCAGCCTCGGTATATTGATGTGTGTACTCACCACGCCCTGAAAACCTGTACTCCAGAGTAATGACCTCCATCACCCAGTAGATCGGTATCAATTTGGCGGATCCCATTTTCCGAGGTCTGCATCACGGCAAGCAACGTCATCCCGATGACCTTGAAGGCGTCATCTCAAGAGCAAAGGAAGTTGGGTGCTCCAAGCTGATCGTTACCGGCTCCGACTTTACTAGCTCTAGAGACGCTCTGGAAATTGCCAAGCAGTATCGTGAGTCGAGCGTGATCAAAGGTTGCAAGGTTACTTCTGACGTGGTTCCACAGCCGGCGTCGTATACACGACGATTGGGATTCACCCGTGTAGCAGTGCGATATTCAGCAGCTCCGACGAAGCCGCCGAGGGCATGCACACTGACCCGGACCCATCCAAACCTATCCCGGACACCCATGAACCGGACCCCAACAAGACGGAGGCCATTATTAGCGAGCTCCGTGACCTCATCAAGGATTCAACTGCCTCCAAATCCGGCCTCGTCGCCTTTGGCGAGTTCGGCCTCGACTATGACCGTCTGCACTACTGTTCCAAGACCATTCAGCTCCACTCTTTCGCTGCACAGCTCGATCTTGTTCTCGAGACGAAGCCGCAGCTGCCTCTCTTTCTTCACTCGAGGGCCGCCCATGATGACTTCGTACGCCTGCTCAAGGAGAAGTTCGGCGAAAGACTCGAAAAGCTCAAGAAGGGCGGCGTGGTCCATAGTTTCACTGGAACCATCGAGGAGGCCAGGGAGCTGATGGACCTCGGCTTGTACATTGGCATCAACGGTTGTAGCTTCAAGACCCAGGAGAACTGTGAAGTCGTCAGGCAGATCGCGCTCGACAGGATGATGATCGAGACCGACGGCCCATGGTGCGAGATCCGGCCGAGCCATTTCGGGTTCAAGTATCTCATCGACAAGAAACCCGGGGCCAACGGCACCATGGACGGGGCTGCGATGCAGGAGCATGCTCAGAAGCCTCAGGGTAAGAAGCGGAGCCATAAGAAGGAGCCCGAAGTTCCCGAACGCTTCAAGGTCGTCAAGAAGGAGAAGTGGGAGGAGGGCGCCATGATCAAGGGCCGGAATGAGCCCTGCATGATTGAGCGTGTCGCCAAGGCTGTAGCGGGCATCAAAGGAGTGGAAGTCGAGGACATCTGTGAGGCAGCTTGGAGAAACACTGTCAAGGTTTTCGCTGTAGATCGATAGACGCATAGACTGGTGAACAATTTTGTTTGGGGTATCAAGCTCATTTTCGAAGAAACACAAGCGCTTAGGGTCATAGCCGCATCACACGGGGCGAACCCTCTATAACAACCAGATCCTGCTCTTATAAACCGGAGCCCTTGTGCCCCCGGATCCTGCCATGCCTGACAGCCCCCACAGTCACGCCCTCTTCGCCCGTCAGCCACCCCGGCATCCGCTCTCCGTCAATGATGCCGTTCTCTACCAGCTGCCGTATGCCAGCAAACACATGAGGCCCATGAAACGTTAGCTTCACGTTCGGTACCCAGATTTTGGCATCTGGTCGATTCTCCCCGGTGTCCGAATGATTTTCGAAAGAAATCTCAGCGTTGCTCCTCCGGCCACCTTTTCGCTTACTCGTCCCGATGTCTGCCTCATCTTCAGGGCCTCGCTCATTGCCCATTGGAACGCTCTGAAAGCTGTTAGGAAACGGATCTTCAATAACGATATCAACACGCTCGATGCCCAAGCCGTCGTCGATTTTGGCCGTGTCTCCGAACCTCGCCTGTGCACACAGCCGAGCTCTTTTAACAAACTTTTTGGCGTCGTCGGGGCCATCCGCTTTCCGTTTCGAGTTTGGTTTTGTGGCCGACTCCAAAGCATCGTCTGACGATTCCTCTGATAGTGGCGGAGTTGGTAGAACGGAATCAAGCGGTGACTCGTTCTTCTTCTTATCGGCGTAGATGCCCCATCCTCCACCGGCCGCGTTTGTCCGTCCAACGCCTCTAACATGCAACAGCGCATCTAGATTCTTGGTTGAAATATTGGTGGGTTTGAGAGTATATCTTTCCCGCGGCCGGGAGAGAGCCTTTGGTATGCCTTCCACAACCAAGCTGCGGAAACTTTTGGACTCGCTCGCTCCTAGTGAGCCCACGGCTTGTGATTTTGATAGATAGACGAAGGGTGATGCATCGGGAAAGGCAACATATAGCGTTCGTGAGCTGTCAAAATCAGAGTCCGTTGGTGGGAGGCTGCTGCTTAGATGTGTCATGCTCGTGCTATAAGGGGACTCGATGAGGAAGATGCGCAGTATTGAGAGAGCAAGCCCTTGAGGCCGGTGAAAGTGGTAATGGGCTTTAACGTCGGGTAAGACATGGGCCTGGAGGCTTTGGATGAAGGAAGATGGATGAAACCGAGGGAGGATCAGGGACTCCTTGTCGACTTCGGGAGGTTGTTCCTCGTCATCCAAATACGAGGCTTCTTTGAGCGGTGCGATGCGATAGGCGGTCCATTTCTGTGATGTCGGATGATCTTGAAGATATTGAGCGTCCGCCAGGGCCATTTGGTACAGGGTCAGACCGTGCTGCCAGTCGCCTTCGGTGATGCGATCAAAAACCTCTCTCTTGGACCCCTTTCTGTGCTGTAGGTCCGCATAGATAGCCCGCAATTCCTCTATCGACGATGCCGGGGGGTAGAATCCGTCACCGTCGTCCTCTTCACCCAGGAGTGGTGCGCACAGCTGAGCATTGTCGTCATTCAGCCACTCAAGAACCAAAAACAATAAAGAAGGGCGAGATAGGCGACTCAAGGTTTTCTGGACCACCAGATTAGACGGCGGAAGTCGCACATCTGACGACAGGCGTCCTTTGATCGGGATGGAGAAACGCGCCATGGCGGTCACAACATTCCGGCAGGCCAACTGATATGGGATGCGATAGTATTGGCGGATGCCTTAATGGAACCGAAATATACCACTTGCGAAATCCCGGATGCCAATAGAAAGATTACCGTGATGGTGTGGGTATCAGTTATCCCGATCGTCGAGGCTGAAGTAAGTATATTGAGCGGAGGCGCGCTCTACGTCGTAGTGACAGAACAACGAAGACGCGTCGCAACTGTCAGTAATTGCGCACGGGCCTTTCTGCCGTGGGGTCGCCATGTAAGATTGAGTGAGCAGGGAAAGGCAGAAAGCTGACGGAATCCGAGGCTTAAGTAAGCCACTGTCTTCCAGCCGGGGCCAGGTGGACATGCAGGCGATGGCAGCGGCCCATAACAATAACAACCCAAAAGCTGACAGTGGAGTGAATAGAAGCTAGGTATTGCAATGTGGGCGGAATTTGGAGTTGGAGTTTGCAAGGCTATGGCATGGCAATAACGAGCCGGCAATGACAGCAGGCGGGTCTCTCAATTTGACTCCCTATTCACAGGCGCTGCGGCCTAGCTGCGCGGTAAACCAACTCCCCGAATAGGAATGGCACTAGCAGATTGCAGCGGCTACAAGCAAGCACCATCGGGCCTATTTGCCCGAGCGAGGCCGGTGGTGCTTCCGAGGGTCGGAGGGGCTGCAGCGTTGCTTAGAAATTCGGATTTAAGGGTCCTTTCACAAGACGATGCACAGGCACGCGCTAGAAGAAACACGGCAAGGGTTACACCAGAAGCCCACGACAAGCCCCAAGCTAGACCCATTCGAGTCATAGTGGTCTCGGGATTCCATCGTTGACGAGGGGGGATGTGGTTGGTTGTGTCAGTCCACCTTGATCGAGATGTAAATTAGAAATGTTGTCCCCGTACGGCTTGTTAGGTGAAGCCTATATGTAATTCCATTGAGCCCACACAGTAAACCCTACTTCGCACTGAATTCTGTTAACAGGAAATGTGTGCCTTGAACCTGGAATTCAAAATCGGGAGTGGTAAGAGGGAAGAACAAATGTTTGACATCGTGCATCTGAATCATACTTTTCTCGCGGATAGGCAACGAAGCATGACACCCTGGGACATGTCCATTCGCCAAAGATGCGAAAGACGTCAATTGTACTCCGTACGCAAACCCCAAACGAGCAGGTTAGGTTAGTCCAGAGATGCAATGCGCAATTACCGTGGGGCACCAGTGCGTCAGCGAAGCAATGATTCGTGGGTGCGGCATGGACCAGTGATGACGGACTGGTGAACAGAGAGAGGGGCTTGAAGCCGGGGCTGGGTTCCTGCTCCATGATTCGCGGTCCCGGTGTCTGTCGGCAAAGCCATACGGAATGAAATGAGAGTACAGAGATCTGGGCGGCCTGTCTCCGAGGGATGAACTTTCCACATGTGATTGGTCATAGTCCCGATAGAGCACGTCCCCATGTATTGGCTGGTGGGGCTCATCAGGTCACCGCGCACTCCCAGCCTACTACGTAGGCTTTTGTGCGTGGGCGTGCACTGTGCAGCATGTCCAGCCACACCTGTCAATGACTCTGGGGGGCAGAAAAAGTCGCGCTGTTGGGTAAAGAAGTTGACTAATGTTATCCACTTGGCCTGGGTCCGTAACCTGGCGCCTCCAAACAAAGGCTTCATTCTCGCTCAACTCGACTCCTCTTCCCCCATCTCATCCACTTCACCCTGAACTACTCAGCAGTCCAACCCGTAACTGAGACGAACCTCGCCTTCACGAACCAGCCAGTCATCGACGCAATCATCTGACCGGCACGCTCAGCATCTCACGCCCTCGCCCAGTTGTCGTCTGACATCTATCCGACCCGACGCCGGATTTACCCCTCCATCTTCGTTGACCTCAGTGACAAGAGGTTTGGAATCGATCCCGGTCCTCGAATCAACGCACTTTTTATTTATCTGCTTGGGGCTCCAGTACGACCACAAGTAGTCCACTTCCTCCAAACGCCATCGTTGCCGCCCTCGACCTTAAGGACCCAGCTTTCTACAATCACAAAACCACTCGACTACCTCGCTCTGGCGTCGACTTAGACGAAGCCCCTTCGCTCCGCTGCCTTCTTGTCTCCCTGACCGGAAGAACCCGATCTCGCAACATACCACAGCCTTCACCGGCCTCGGCCTCGCGATAATGTCGCCTTACACCAGCACTGGCGGTGGGCGTGCGCCCAACGTGTCTCGTTACCTGCGCGACCTTAACACCGTCAAGGAGCCTGCCGCTGCCGAAGAGAATTTCACCTTTGAGGAGGACCTCGCCATCTTCACCAACACTCAGTTTTTCGACTGCGAGACTGGCCAGCACACCGATTACCAGGCACCGGCCAAGAAGCCCCAGACCGCTGAACCCCAGGCTCCCTCCAGCGCCGTCACAGAAGAACTCACATCTCCCATTGGCGATTTCAATGTCGACTTTTCCATGCCAGGTGAGACGAGATTTTTTTTTGAATTTTTTCGTGCTTTGCGGCACCTTTCTGACGAGCCAAAATTACTGTTGCGAGTTTCTGTCTTCCCCAAACAAGCTATATATTTGTCGCTTGCTTTGCCGTTTGAATGCACTTCACAACAGCTCGTCTGCCTCCGTCTCTGGATGTCGCTTCACAAGACTCTTCAGTCAGCCCTCGCTGCCCAAGTGCCATCGGAATAATGGGAAACTTGTGGCAATTCACTATTCAAACTAGTCAAGCGACTTCTCTGAACTTTAACCCCAGCTTCCGGCGACCAACTGAACTTTCCTTCGGGGTCACAGCCAAGCCTGCGACCGACCGCCTTATCGCCAGCTAGCCTTCAAATCAGTCGTTTCTTACCCCACCCTGTTCATGCGCGGCCCATGTTTCATTTAGACCTCTTGATTGGGAGGTTCGGCTGCTGCTTTTTATGCAGGTTGCCGGCCTGCGTTGTTGAGGGAGAGGCGCGACTCCAGGATTGGGCTTACAAATTGCCCTGGGGATGGTGCAATACCTCGTGACTTATCGTCATCGACCCCAGCAGGGGGCAGGCAACGACCATGTGGGCAGCCGCCATCCGATACCGATTAAGCAAGTGCTATGGTCAACGGCGTTGCTATTCTGTCATTTAGGCTCGTCGATGCGATTGTTCCTCTGAACAAGCGCTATCCGCCCGTCTTCCCCTTCATCCTGCCGTCTCGCCGACGCCACGATGCCAGGAACTGACAAACTCCTGCATTGAACCCTCCATTCTGACCATGAACAATGACAGGTGAATTTAACTTTCAAGATTTTACCAACCCCTACCCTGCCTCGGGCGTCCCGTCCTTCGCCGAAGGCCTGGGCAACCTTCAACCTCTCCAGCCTAATCCTCAAACTACCTACGCACCGCCCCCCGTTTCCCAACACTATGGCGTCCCTACACCGAGGGCCTCCGAGACTATGACCCCGGAATCTCTAAATGGTGTCAGCAGAAACGGCCAGAACTTCGAGGAGCAGTCCCGTATCGCAGCTGAAGAAGACAAGCGCAGGAGAAACACCGCTGCTTCCGCCAGGTTCCGCATCAAGAAGAAGCAGCGTGAGCAGGCCCTGGAGAAGAGCGCCAAGGAGATGTCCGACAAGGTCTCCGCTCTTGAGCAGCGCATCAACCTCCTCGAAACCGAGAACCGCTGGCTCAAGAACCTCGTCATGGAGAAGAACGAGGGAAACGAAGACATCGCCGCCTTGCTGAGGGAGTTCCAGAACAAGCAACCCAAGTCGAACACGACATCCTTGGGTTCCGCCAAGGCGGAGGAGTCAAAGTAAATGGGAGGAGACTCTGTCACCAACAGGAGGCACAGCCCCTCGACGACTGATGTCTATACGTAATGCGTTTCATGTTCAAGACATTGGGGTTTTTGGCACCATCCGGAGTTTGATACTGCAGAGGGACGAAGAGACTACTGCGCGGGCGGGATCGCGGATGGGGACTAGAGAGAGGTGAAGAACGGGCGGGTTTATTGAGCGTCTCTGTTTTTGTTTGCTGGCTACATGTGATGGGACTTAAACATATACCTGCACGAACTCATGATTTGGGGATCGTGATAAGACTATGTCACAGCAATGAGTTATCTTGATGCGTTTGTTTACCCTACGTCTATTGACTATTACAACTCCTTCGTTCTTCTCATAAGAGATTGACAAGGCTCCGAGGCTCTGCCGTTGAAAGTGACTCAAATCTCAACATCCCGCAAGTCGAAGGCGTGATTCTGCCCTCGTAACATAAGAGTTCAACCACCCAATATGCGTAAGCCCCTGCCCCCGCCCCTTTATTCTGTTGGATATTGGACGGGTAAGCCATGGCAGTCGGTTTGAGTATCATTCAATGTCTATCCGTCCCTCGCTGGGAAAGGACCAGAACTGCGCGCCAAAAACCCGCGGATACGTGGCTCGGTCCGGATTACTGTGGGAGGGTTACATTTGCGGGACCATTGGCTGTTGGGCTTGGGGTTGCCGTGTCGTGTTGGACCGACTTCAAGAAGAAACATCAGAAGCGAAGGGGTTAGGACGGAAGAGAAAGAAGGAAAAGGGCCAAACACCGCTGTTCCATAACGACGCATTCTCTCCGCGAAGTGTTGGACCGGCTAAGACCCAAAGGATGGCATGGGATGGAACGGGACGGCCGTTCAACATGGGGCAAGATGGACAAGGAACATACGGGGCGGGGACTTGGGTTGGATCGTGCGCACACGGGACGAAGGAGGCTTGGAAAATGGAGACGCTTCATTTCCCTAAGTTCTTTCTGTTATCATACATAGTTCAAAGGAGTATTGCTCGGTCCTACCACCCTCGTCCCAGCCCTGAGAATCCTACAAGGCGTCCACTTTCTCGCATGTCGAAAGAATATTTTTCCAACTTCACCTCGTCCCGGATGAGTCTCGGGTTGCGATTCTTTTCAAATTCCTTTGTCAAGTTCTCAACCTCGGTCAGCTCCGTCCTCGGTGTCATTGCCCTCCCCTCTGAGACCCGCGAGACGGATCTGGTTCCTCTTCCCGAGGATCCTCAGCGTGTTGCGACGCTCGATCTCTGTCATCTCGCCCCAGTTGCTGATCCGTGACATGGTGCCGTCCTGGTTAACCACCAGGGGCCCCAAGTGGTTGAGCTTGGTCGAGGCGCCTTCGCCGCCGCTCATGTCGAGGGTGACGATGCCGTTGCCCCCGGCTGAGTTGCCCTCAGACGGGGGCTCGGGAAGCGGCGGCAGAGCAAGGGGCTGCTTCTGCTGAGCAGGCTCGGCGGCGCCCTGCGCTTGAGGCTGGTGCTGGCTAGAGTCGGTGTTGCTGATGTCCGCCGCGGGGGCGGGGGATGTCGTGTTTTCAGGGGCCTGTGACGTGCTTTGCGTTTGGTGGTGTTCTCGGTGGCCACCGTCCTCAACCTCTCGGTTCTGGGCGCCTTGACTGCCTCCTGCAGCACTCCCCGCCGCTGCCGCCAACCCATTTGTGGACCATGATGCTTCTTCTGTCACCATCTCCCCCATTGTCTTCGACAGGGGTGCCGATGATGTGCTCAGTCTTGTTGTTGTCGTGGTGGCGCGGACGGCGGCCAGGGCAGGTGATGGTCCGAATGATTGGCGGGACAGTATTCGGGGAGGCGCATACAGACGTGGGATGCCCCCAAGCCGTGGTCTCATTTGTAGTGATGTCTCGTATTTTGGCGGTTTCTATTGAGTAAGATTGAGCGAAGTTTTCAGGCCTTGGAAATCCGAGCTGGGGATTTATTGATGTTCACAAATGAGAGTGAAGTGGGTACCACCGGGCGTCTGTGAGCTGCCAAATGTGTAAAGTGACTTCTGGTATTTTCCAGACCCCCCATGCGTTCTTCCACTTGCCACTATCTCTCCTCAATAACGGACTCGTCCATTGCCTCAACACAAAGACCACAATTTAGTCTCAGCCTTCATACTCATCCATACTGGCGCGTTTCATTTGAAATATTATCATTTTCTCTATGCCTAGTACCTGTTTACTGCACTTGAAATGCTCTGATTCGGAAGGTACATCGGGCCGTGAGGTCCTTCCGATGGCGCGAGCCATGCACCTCTCTGTCTATGCCGGAAGACAAATCAGAAATCCTCCCATGGGTATCAAGTAGTGGCTTATACCACCTTGTTAAGAAACCACCAATCCGATCATATCCGCAACAACGCCATCGAAGCCCAATATGACTAACACGAGAAGAGAGGAGGAAAAAAGAGGGAGAGCTGCAGCTAGCCCCATCTAGCGATGACTCTCGCCACCTGTACGACGACGGTCAAGACGTCTGACCACAGCTCCGAGGACGACTTTTAGGATGCTGTCCGCCGTGAGCACGCCCCGGTTACCATGCTCCCAGGTGACAGTGTCAACCATGTCGCGAAGGTCACCGTCAACCCTATTCACGAGATCGTCGTCGAGCTCACGAAGCGCCTCGCGGGCACCGGGCTCATTGCCAACCTGGAAGAACTGCACGCCAACCTGGTGCATAGGGGCGTCGAGCTTGTCGAGCTTTTTAGCTACGGAGATAATGGTAGACTCAACATCGTCCGATGGTGCGCCGTCGGTGATGACGATGATATTAATAGGCTTCACGGCCTCGACATTAACATTTTTCTCGAGGAGCTGCATGTATGGTCGTAGGATGGCACTAAGACGCTGGCCGGTGGGTGTAGCACCGCAGGGACGGACAGTGGTGAAGATTTCCTGGACCGTCTCAGCACGGCGGATACCATAGTAACCACCGGCAGCCTTGCCTGCTCTCGCGTTGCCTCTGTCCGACGTCTTTTTGTTGAGGAAGTACAAGTCAATACCGTCATCGTCATGTGATGTGCAGATGGGTGTGATAGCGCGGAGGACATTTTGAACCTCGGGCCACGAGCGGCCGGCCATCGAACCCGAATCGTCGATAAGAAAGATGGTGTCAAAGGAGGATAGAAAGGCATAGGGGTCCTCCGGCGTCGAGACGCTCATGCCACCAGCGGACATGATGGAGTTGGCGTTAGACAGGGCAGGCGACAAGCTTCTGACGGGGCCACCCAGAGCCGCCAGGTAGTTGGCGCCAGACTGAGGGGCAACTGTCGCGGTATAGGCGGGGGGAGGCTGGTCAGGGGCTGGACGACAGTAAGAATTACTGGTTGGAGTTGGATGGGTTATCATTGTGTTTGGCGAAGACTTACAGTTGGCTTGTAGAGTCGCCGGAGGGTGGACGAAGGGGTTGTTGCGACGGATCATGCTGGACTGCGCGATGTTTTGGGGCTCCTGGGAAGATGGAGTCGACTTGCGGGATAGCTTATCCTTGAACGAACCGAAGAACGATTTGCACATTTCGGGGCTTTTGCGGTCGTCGAAGATGGACGATAGGGGGTATGCAGGAGCTAGGTCTTCGAAATGCGGCATCGTGAAAGGTAGAAGGAGAGGAGGAAGGAAGCTGCTGCTCGCAGTGAATTTGATATAAGAGGTAAAGTGGGGCCAGGGACTGTCGGAGAAGACGATATGTACCTAGCGGTACAATTGCTTTCGGAAAGAAGGTTTGTGGTGGAAATGGTGCTACGCAAACTTGAAAATCTTGTTCAGCCAGTCACTTTTGAATGGTGTTGGCCAAAGAGGTGTCCGGAGCGAGGTAGACTGGACTTGTGAGTTGCCAAACCCTAGACTTCGTATTGTGATCTGCTCCAACACCCTGGGTATTTTTCAATTGCTTTGGGGTGCTTTGTTCTTATAAGGATAGATTTTCAGACTCCTCTGGAAGTTTCAAATCTCCTCTTGTCAGCCCAAGGCGACGATATGTGAAGTTGATCTATGCAACTGAGATATCAGTGGCGTTCTCATTTTGGGGTTGTGGCTGAGCGGAACCTTGTGGATTAGGCGGCGTTGTGGCTAGCTCATCGATGCACAGCATTAGGCTGAGCAAGGCAGCCCCAGCCCCGGTCTGCCTCATCCGGGTGGTCTGCAGGTGGCCTGCCTTACTGGAAATTATGCGACATCTGAGTCCCTGGATGCCTTGCCTCTGACCTTACCGAATATGATCGCGTTTGTAGACTTCCTGAGCATGTTTCTGGTCAGACAGGGGCGGGTCACGTGTAAGGCGGCTTGGGACTGATGGATTCGTGGTGGCATCGTTTCTGATCTGCCTGCAACTTCGGCTGTGTTCCGTTTCCAGGGGCCGCGAATCTCACAAAGAAAAAAGGTGCGGGGTCGACATTTGGCGCTAGAGTCTCGGCACCCGGGGTTCCAACGAAGTCTGCCATACTGTGGACGATTCGATACTGGAAACAAACAAGCCGTAACTGAGGTCTGGAAAAGCCCCTGAACGTTGTCAATCCTGTTGCTGGGGTACGCCGACTCACGACGATAACTATTCGTAAAGCGTCCTGAAAGTTCCGGTACAATGCCGGACGGGGCCCGCCTTGGCCAGACTGCTCTGCCAATGGTTGCCCGCGATCGGACCAGGCGTTCAATGGCCCAGGTAAGCTGCGAAAGGGCGTTTTACACTTTGCTGTGCAAAATGCAAGGAAGATATGTGGCGTTCCTGGTGTCGAAGTAGTGTATGCTTGATCGAAGCAATGTTTCCCCGTGAGGTCGCCCTCTGCTCTGGACGAAGGGCGTCGCCTCCCTGCACTGATTGGGAACAATCTTGGAGCCAGGGACAAGCCAAACGAGGGCACGGAGATCCGCTTTGGGGCAGAACACTGAATCTAGTAGTAGACACCGCTTTTTTACGTGGTGTGGTGATACCAAACCGGATGGCCGACAAGGGGTAACGAGGGGCAGATGAGGGGCAATGAACGAACCGCACACAGAGCGTGAGAGGAACGAGGAGAGACACTCGCACTGACGTTGCGTTTGCTTTAATAAATGGGATACCGTACACGAACGAGCGAGCGCCACGCTGCTTTGCGCTGCCTCTCTGCATTTGCTCACTGAGTCTTGGGTGCTTTACTTTCTTATTTTGTTACCTGTAGCAGGGATCGACGTATAGACTCATTGGTCCTAAAAACGGCTCGGGCGGCACGAGGGCTGTCGGACTAGACTACAAACACAAACGCTGTTTGCTTCCATTTCCTTTCTGGACCTGTCCGATCTGCTTCGATCTCTCGTCTCGCCCTACCACGCCTTCAAGACTCGGTGACCGCCCGCGCAAATTCGTCGAGTGACAGTACCACGTTCATCTTCAACGAGAACGAAGGCAGCTTCCGAGCCTATCAGCGCCCCCATCGTGCCATACGAAACCCACAATTGGAAGAGCCTGCATGAGAGCTGCGTTCCCACCCAGCAGGGATTCCCAAGCCAACGTCAGGCCCCAAGTGCTGGTGACGAGAGGCCTTTGGCAGTTACCCAGTTTCCCTGTATAAGACGCGTTGTGTGCCCCTTGCTGCCTCACCTTGCAAAGATGAAGAGCGAATCTCCCCCCTCTTAGCTTCAAGCTTCACCGTCTCTTGCTTTCTTTCCCTCTTCACCTTCCCCAGGTTATTCCCCAGCCTGGTGAACAAACGGGGCGACCGACATTTCGCCGCCTACAAAACTCTGTTTCTCCAGCTGCCGCTTTCCGATCGAAGCATTAGGAGTTTCCGAACGTCAATTCTCAACCAAAATTAAGCGCTATTGACAGCCTAGGGCTAATAGAGCAAGATGTTCAACAACCGAAAGTTCTCGATCAACCGGCACACCGGTGTGCCCAAGCCCAGACGCTTTAGTATCGGCGAGATTGGAGGCAACGGTAAGAACCCTGTTCCCCTCCCTCTCTTCTATTCAACCCATCTGAGCTACATGGGCCGTGTCAATATCTCTTTCTTCTCTCAACCGTTTCCAATATTTGCAACCGAGAAGCGTAAATTCAGGGAGAGAAAAATATTGCCGCGTTGGTGTCGGTGCGGGGTAGAAGCTGAACCCAGGTCTAACGCTGACTGCGTGCCCCTCGTTCCCCACACAGCTCCAACACGGCCTCGATGACATTTCATGTCTTGGCTCTTTGGGGAACGGTGATGGCCTTGCTACCTATAGATCACGCTGACTTCTTCTTCCTCTAGAGGTCCAGTCCAAGACTCACAGACAGTTCCGTAACGCCCACGAGGGCCACCAGCCCCATGCTGGTCTTGATGCCAGCCGATCCTCCACCGGTGTCGTCTGGTGCACTGAGCGCGCCTCCGAGTATGGCTTCCTCGAGGACCCCGACTCTTGGGCCAATTTGGGTCAAGGTGCCCCTGAAGTCGAAGATGACATTGCCGGTTGCTTCCCTCGCCCCACTACCATCGACATCTCGATGGCCGGTCGCGAGTACGGCCCTACTGCGGGTATCAAGGAACTTCGCGAGGCTGTCGCTAACCTCTACAACGTCATGCACCGCGAGGGCAAGGACAGCAAGTACACCTGGGAGAACGTCGCTATTGTTCCCGGGGGTCGCGCCGGTCTGATTCGTATCGCTGCCGTTCTTGGCAACTCCTATCTCTCCTTCTTCTTGCCCGACTATACCGCCTACAACGAGATGCTGTCCCTCTTCAAGAATGTATGTATTCTTATTCAAAGCCGACATTGAGAACTGCCTGACGCCAGACCAACAGTTCTCTGCCATTCCCGTCCCTCTGTCCGAGGAGGACGGCTATCACATTCACCCCGACCGCATTGCTGAGGAGATTTCCCGTGGTTCCTCCGTCATCCTGACCTCGAACCCTCGTAACCCCACCGGTCGTGTCGTTGCCAACCCCGAGCTGGCCGAGATCCAAGACATCTGCCGTGGCCGCGCCACCTTCATCAGTGACGAGTTCTACTCTGGCTACAACTACACTAGCAACTGTGACGGCAACACTATCTCTGCTGCAGAGAACGTCGAGGACGTCGACGAGGACGATGTTCTCATCATCGATGGCTTGACCAAGCGCTTCAGACTCCCAGGCTGGCGTATCGCATGGATCCTGGGTCCCAAAGGTATGTAACTGTATTTCTAGATTGATTCAACATTTGCTAACAACGCTGCGCAGAGTACATCAAGGCGTGAGTTGCAGTGACACCAGATTAGCAATGATTGTATTGACACGTCCTAGTATCGGCTCCTGTGGTAGCTACCTTGATGGTGGCGCCAACCACCCTTTCCAGGAGGCGGCTGTTCCCATGCTCGACCCCACCCTGGTCAAGGCGGAGATGGTCTTCCTCCAGAAGCACTTCCGCGTACGTCCGGCTCTCGCTCTTTTTTTAAGATTGACACAATCTAACAACTACACAGGACAAGCGTGACTACGTCGTTCGCAGACTGCGCGAGATGGGTTTCATCATCAAATATGTCCCCGACTCGACTTTCTACCTGTGAGTTGTTCTCTGGAACACACCTTACACAAGCCAGGCTGACGGGTTTCTAGCTGGCTGAACCTCGAGGGTCTCCCTGGCCCGATTTCTGACGGTCTCAACTTCTTCCAGGCCTGTTTGGAGGAGAAGGTCATCGTCGTTCCTGGCATTTTCTTCGACCTGAACCCGTCGAGACGTCGTGATCTTTTCGATAGTCCTTGCCATCACTTTGTGCGTTTCTCGTACGGCCCCAGGATGGAGACCCTGAAGAAGGGCTGCGACGGCATCGAGCGTGTTGTCAACAAGTTCCGCAAGTCTTCCGACTAAATGCGGTGAGAGAATGGTCAGAGTTAGCCGTTTGGATGGAATCGACGATAAGGGTAAGCCAAGAAAAAACACGCCAAGGCGAGACCAATATTCCAATGTTCAGTACCTGCATGCATACACGCAGACAGCACAGATAATGCCGAAATGATCCACGCGCCAATAGGGTGACGTGTCCACACAATGAAGAATCGAAGATCAAGATTCACTGCATACGGTGCAGTTACAGTGTGCCTGTATGAATTGACATTTTCTACTATGTGAAAGTATCATTGCAATTATTTGGGGTAAAGGAAACAGGACCACAAACTCCACCAGCAAAAAATTCACCGATGGATATGAGGCAACCGCAAGATAAAAAAAACCCCATAAAACAAATTAAGTATGAAGTTAAAAGAGGATAAAATTGGCAACGTTGCTATGCTAGTGTTGTGTCAAACATGTACACCCTACATACACATATTAATTGCCAGGCCCGTCATAGTCCAAAGGAAAGCTGCGGTAGCCTGGCATAAGGGGGCGGGAAAGGATCTCGACAACTTGCAAGCATCAAGGTATCTCGTCTAGGCCAAGCGAGGAAAATCAAGACGCTTGCTAACATGGGGCTTTTTATACCGCTCTGCCTCGCCACAAGAAAAATTCAGTTGCGTGTCTGTTCTCTCATTCGATTCTTGGTCTCGCCGCCAACCTCACGACTGGCTTGCAAGATAGTTGGCAGCCTAAAAGAAACCCGTCAGTTCCATAAGTGCGATGGGAGACAATGCTTTTGGAGGCATCAACTTACCCTCTCCAAGTTGTAGTCATACTTCTCTAGAGCGAGGATGGCATCCTCTCTCGAGTAACCCATGCTAGTGAGGTTCTTCAGGATCGGATCATCGTGCTCGCCCGACTGGGTAAGAGCTCGGCCGGGGGCCGGACGAGTCTCTGCAGCCGGGGGAGAAAGAGCAGGAGCACTTGCGGTGGGGTTTGCATTGGCGTCGCTGGGCGAATCGAGACTGGCAAAAATGGCATCCCAGTCTTGCGCCTCAGAGGCTCCTGTACCTTTAGCTGATGCGCCTGCGTTGCCACCAGCGGCGGGGTTCGGCGGGACCGTTCCAAAGTCGTAGCTGCTCTCATGCCCAAACGCCGTGGACTCGGTCTTGGCCTGACTAGGTGGCGGGCTACTGTCGAAGACGGGATTGAAATCGTCCAGGCCGGACCTAGAGATCGTCTGGAAGTCGTCGTCGGCTGAGCCCTCCTTGGCATCCTCAAGGCCTTCGAATTCATCGTCAAGGTCGTCGAAAGACGATTTTGCCTTGGGTGCGGCAGGCTGTGCAGCTGAAGCCGCTGGTGCAACTTGAATTTCCGAGACCTCAGAGGTAGCAGTTACGGTAGCAGTTGGCTCGGACGCAGCCGCTTCCTCCACCACGGGAGCGGGAGGGGAAGAAGTAGCCTCCTTGTCCTCTTCGGGTGCTTCGGTCTTCTTTGCCTGAGGGGACGCTGGGGCGAAGTCGTCATCAAAACCTCCACCAAAGCCGCCGCCCTCGCTTGCAGTGTCTGAATCATCGTCTTCGCGGTCAAGCTCTGAGATGGGCGGAAACTCGGAATCGAAAGCTGAGGAGGATTTGTTTGCGTCAACACCAGAACCTACCGAGCTCTTGTGCGCACTGGTGAAGCTAGCAAAAGCATCATCAAAATCAGCCTTAGCATCGTTTGGACCCATGGCTGCAAACGGGTCAGAGTCAACCGCAGCCTTGTTGGGCGCAACTGCAACGTCGTTGCCCGAGGGCTTTGTATCGCCTTGGACTGCGGGCTCCTTATTGCTCGCGGTTGACGCTGAGTCCGTGCTCTGGCCTGTTGCCACGGGCTCGAGGGGAAAAGCTCCAGGCAGCGAGTTGGCCTGAGGAGTTTCGCTACCCTCAGCCCGAGAGGCGGGCGGCGAAACAGCCCGAGAGGAGCTGAGAGATTCGCTTGCGTCGGCAAACGGGAGGAAGCTCGAGCTGATTTGCCTAGACTCTGGAGGAGCGGGAGGCTCGGCTGTAAGGGTAGCTTGACGACTGACATTGGGTGATGTGGGTACGGGAGGTGTCGAGAACGAGCCCAAGCTAGTAGTCGACGCACCTGTGTGTTGCGGCTTGAAGGATGTGGCGGGTGGCGGAGTGCTGCTAGACCCGGCAGGAGGGAATGCTGGCCCAAAGACATCGTCAAAGGACTTGTCAACGCTGGAGGGCTTGACAGGCGGCGGCGACCCGAAAGAGCCCATGATGTCAGTACTGCCTGTTCTCCTAAAAAAGGGGTTGTTTCCACTGGCAGTCGATGGTGTAGGGCTTGCGACCTGAGCCGACGATGCGATCGGAGAGCTGGTGTTCGCCTGGCGAGAGAGCTCCTCGTTGTTCTTGGAAAGATCGCTCAGTTCAGTCTGAAGCTTGTCACGCTCACCCTCGGTAGTCGCCAACTGCTTCTTGTTGATAGCAACAAGTCCCTTTTGCTGCCGCGCTTCGGACCTGAGTTTCTCGGTTTGAGACTTGAGCTTGGCAATCTCGGCATTAAGAGTGCGGATCGTTTCCTTCAGCTTTGCGTTTTCTGCCTGGTCAGCCTGCAGTCCAAGGTAAACTTGCTGGTGTTGGGTCTGCAAGTCTCTGTAGGTGCCATCCAACGCCATGCACTCGGCCTGAAGCTTCTTTGTCTCGTTTCTCGAGTTGTTCAGTTGTACCTGAAGAGCCTCGACATCTTTAGCTTCCTTCTCGTACAAGGTACGGAGCTGCGCCAAGCGCTGCTCGAAGTTCTTCTTCTGGGAATTGGCTTGATTGAGCTCATTTTGCGTCGTAGTCCGCTGGCCTTGAACCTCCTGCATCTGCTTAGACAGCGAGCCAACCTGGTTGGACAGGTTCGCAAGCTCGGCAGTTTCGTTGGTTAGCTTCTTGCTGACCTCAGGATCGCCATCTCCCAGAAGGTCTTCGGATGCCGAGGGAGCGGGAGGCTTGCCAGAGTTTGAGTCTCCTGTAGGGTGTACAGTGAGTCCACGCCCAAAAGATGATGAAGGCACAAACGGCTTGAACTGAGTTCCAGTAGGCGAGGGTCGGATGGGAGAAGAAGGTGTCAGAACAGCCGAGCCCGAGCCGAACGGGTCGTTCGCATTTGAACCACCCGTCGACAGAGCAACCTGAGCAGGGGCTGGGGCAGGCGGTGTGTCAAGGCCAAATAAGTCATCAAGAGCAGACTTGGGAGCCGGAGGGGGTGCCGGGGCAGGTGGTTGAGGCTGGGGAGGAGCATCAAAAGGCGAGCCTGAGGTTTGGGGACGCGCCTGAGTCCGCATACTAGGCGGAATCAAGTTGGCGGGCACCGTCGTTGGAAGAGCAACTGAACCATCTCGTCTCATTCGCTGCTGCCGAATGAGGTACATGGCGACGGCAAAAGTATCTCTGTTCAAGCGGCCCTCAGAGTTGATGTCTGCGAGATCCCAGATCTGAGCCAAGGCGTCTTCTGGGAGGTTCGACTGGCTAAGAAAAGGAACAGCTTCCTCGCCGGTGATAAAACCCTTATGAGTCTTGTCCAGATCGTTGTAAAGTACATCGAAACGTGCCTTGTCCTCGGGAGTGATGAGCCAGTCGCTTGCGGGGGTGCCAGTTGTTTGCGCTGTAATAGGTGGCCGTCCAAGGGGACTCCCGGCACGGAATTGGGCTGAGCCGCTGAGTTGCCTAGGAATGGCAGAAATGGGCCCGGTGCCAGTGGGCGATTGTCTAGGTGCGGTAGGCCCGCGCCGAGTTGCAGCCTCGTACAGAGCCGCTGGGAGGATATTAGGAAGGCCTCTGAGAGCGCCCGTTTTCATGGATGTGAGGAGATGCATAGCAATGACGAACTCGGTCAAGACTAGAGCGCCACGCTGCTCAGTGTCGGCCAGTTGCCAGATTCTCCCAAGCACCTCGGTCGGTAGTCCTGACTTTTCGAAGATGGATTTGGCTGCGTCACCGGGTAGGAGGTTGCCCGCCTGTAACGGTTGGCGTTCAAACAACCCGGCATATTGACTAACTTTCTCGGGTGTCAGGGGCGGGATTCTGATGGGACCTCCACCGGTACTTTGGGCTTGCAGAGGAACGGCGGGAGGGGCGGTGGGAGACGTAAGACCGGCCGGAGGAGGCATGCCATCGAAGCGGGGCAGCGGTCCCGGTTGGAGGGCTATCTCGGTAGTTGGCTCACGTCCAGCTTGCGCATGGCCGATGAGCCTCAACACAAGTCCGAAGCCTGCTGGGGTCAGAAAGCCCCGGTTCTCCTTATCTGCAATTTGCCATATCTGTCATCGTCTGCATCAGCTACTATGGCTGACTCGGGAAGTTCGTGGTATTTGTCCTTACCTCTCCAAGTACTCTAGAATCCAACCGAGTCTTCTCAAAGAACTTAACGGCGGTTTCGCCAGTAACGACACCTACACTTTCGGTATCGGCTTGGCGGAATAGTTGGCCATAAATACGTTTCTCTTCAGGGGTTAGGTTGAGGTTCGGCGCCGCTGTGGGACGACTGTCGTCAGCACCTCATCCTCTTGTATATCCTGCACGCGCAGGCACCTTGTTTATTTCAAGATAGCAACTTACCCGCATCAACACCCTCGGCGGACATGTTGGAGGCTTCGAGATCCGTGTAGCAGGAGTTTTCGTGCTGCGCAGGTTGGTGTGATGTTGGGTATAGGCGATTGGGGAGAGATCAGTTGTCGTCGGTCGGGTTTGATACAGCCTCTGGGGGGCTGGGGGTGATCGACAGTGAGTCTGTTACCGGGAAACAATAGATTAGAATCAATAGTCAATCACAGTCAGGTACGAGGAGATGATCCAGATGGTAACCTACTTCGTGCACAGATGCTGTGCCCGGCCCTTTGATCCCAGAGAGAGTTGTGAAGAAGGAAACTTGCGTTTGGACGTTGGTTCCGTAGTGAAGTAGGTAGATCGACGGGTGTGTCGGTTGGTCTCTGCCGGAGAAGGTCGTCAGGCTGGCCAATTCGCAATGGAAGCCAAGCCACCTACAGCCACCTACCTAGGTACCCTGAAGTGGTACGTACCTCTTATTCTGCTATGGTTTGATAAACGGGGCCCATAATAAGCTCTGGCGACCTTCCCACTGTATTCCTAGTCAGCATGCACCCGACTCCTACCTAGGTATGCTTCGTACTCAGGACGTTCCTTTATGACCAACACCATTTACGGAAACAGAGTCCAATATGAAGGAAAGACATGGGCTTCTTCAACAAATCTGGTGCATCGTCTGCAAAACTGTTCTTTTTTCTCTCTCTCTGTTTTTTGTATAGTTTTAGCACAACGTACGTAAATCGCATACATGACAAAACTCTTATTTGGGCAATATGGAGTGCGACGAGGTACACAGCATACAATTTGGAACTTGATTGATTCATCCCCGTAGCATTAAAGTTGGCTATCTTTTCTGACTCTAACAACTGAAGTAAACACGCCTTTGGCCCCAGAGGACTGCTTCAACGCAAAGATCCGTGACATCGGAGCCAGCGCCCCAAGAAGAATCGAGGTGTTGCATCGCAACTTAATCCGCATCCAATCGCCAGGATATACACCTCTTAGTACTCTGCCTCAAGACCCTCCTCGCCCTCGAGAGAGTCGGCTGCAACCTCCTCGTAATCGCGCTCCAGTGCAGCAAGATCCTCACGAGCCTCGGAGAATTCACCCTCCTCCATACCCTCACCGACATACCAGTGGACGAAGGCACGCTTGGAGTACATGAGGTCGAACTTGGTCGACAGAGCGGACCAAGCCTCGGCAATGGCTGTGGTGTTAGAGAGCATGCACCTATTAACTTCGTTAGCAAAACATCTTTGGCATGTTCAAATAGCACGGCCAGAACTTACACAGCACGGCTGACCTTGGCGAGGTCACCGTTGGGCACCATCTGGGGAGCCTGGTAGCAGATACCGAGCTTGAAGCCAGTAGGGCACCAGTCGACGAACTGAATGGTGCGCTTGGTCTTGAGAGTCGCGACAGCGGCGTGGGCATCGTTGGGGACGACATCACCGCGGTACAGCAAGCAGGTGGCCATGTACTTGCCGTGGCGGGGGTCACACTTGACCATCTGATTGTTGGGCTCGAAGCATGACATCGTCATCTCCTGAACGGAGTTGGCCTCGTGGGCGGCCTTGGCGGCTGAGATCATAGGCGCGTAGGCGACGAGAGGGAAGTGGATACGGGGGTAGGGAACCAAGTTGGTCTGGAACTCGTTCAAATCGACATTGAGGGAACCATCGAAGCGGAGGGAGGCGGTGATGGAGGAAACGACTGCGTTCATTTGTTAATATACGAGCCTGGGTAGAAGTTGAAAAGAGGCTGAGGCTTACCCTGGGCAATCAAGCGGTTAAGGTTCTCGTAGTTGGGGCGCTCAAGACCCAGGTTACGACGGCAGATGTCGTAGATGGCCTCGTTGTCGACCATGAAGGAGCAGTCAGAATGCTCCAGGGTGGTGTGGGTAGTAAGAATAGAGTTGTAAGGCTCGACGACGGAGGTAGCGGTCTGAGGGGCGGGGTAGACACAGAACTCGAGCTTGCTCTTCTTGCCGTAGTCGACGGACAGGCGCTCCATAAGGAGAGCACCGAAACCAGAGCCAGTACCACCACCGAAGGAGTGGAATACGAGGAAGCCCTGGAGACCAACACAGTTGTCGGCGACGCGGCGGACCTTGTCGAGGACCTGGTCAATGAGCTCCTTGCCGACGGTGTAGTGGCCACGAGCGTAGTTGTTGGAAGCATCCTCCTTGCCAGTAATCATGTGCTCGGGATGGAAGAGACCACGGTAGGGGCCGGTGCGGACCTCGTCGACAACATTGGGCTCCAAATCGCAGTAGATGGCACGGGGGACGTACTTGCCCTGGCCTAGAAAATGGAATTGTATCAGCAAATGTATTAAGCTTCAGGGCTCGTCGGGCCAAACCATACCAGTCTCGGAGAAGAAGGTGCTGAAGCCATGGTCGGGGTCGGCCGCCTTACGCTCCTCGGTCAAGTATCCATCGGGCTGGCAGAGAGACGCTAGTTAGAATCCTAGGCATATAAGTGAAGCATGTAAATAGCTTACCTGGATACCGTGCTCGAGGCAGTAAAGCTACAGACAAGAAGAGGTTAGTCATCGAACCCAGAAGCAAGCGAAGCCGAACGAGTGTCGTCGGGACAGGTAGGTTCATGGCTCGACTCGGCGACGGTGTGGTATCGAGTAAACAGATGTAAACATACCTCCCAACAGGAGTTAGCGATCTGGCAACCAGCCTGGCCGACTAAATAAAAAAGTCAGTAAGTATGCAGAGATGAGTATCAGGTGTATCGTCGTGGTAGTTGAAGGCAATGACGGCAAACAAGCAACGGGTGGTCACGATGCGGTGAAGCACAGCAGCACGCGTGGGGTCAGGGGATCAAAACAAATGAGGGTGTGCTTACCGTTGATGCTGATGACCTCACGCATGATGGCGGTTGAGAGACGAGGGTGAAAAAGGCTAGCGACTGGAATAGGGAGCAGCAGCAAAGAGATGAGACTCGAGGAGGTGGAAAGCAAGCAAAAAAGTTGATTTCGCAGCTATCGCGAGAGGATGTCGGACAGGAGGTTGAAAAGGTTGGGTTAGGCCTGACAAAGTGCAGGGAAAGAATAATAGGTGCTGGGCGGCTCGTGCTTGTGTGTTTTCTGGCGGCGGCGGCGGCGGTGGTGGTGCTTGGTGCTGGCTGGCGCTTCCAAGACTGGAGACCTCAGGACGTAGAAGGACACTGTAGGTGAGGAGGGCAGGGTGGGGTACCAAATTTGGTGCGCCAGGGGCCGTGCAGCGAAGGTTTGTTGATATGAGCGGCCCCAAATTGGTAAGCGCATCGGCCCACGTCTGTTGTCAATGGCGAGACTGGCGAATGGTAGGACGCACACTGGGAGGCACCGGGGGTGTCTTATTGGCTCTCCTGCGGGGACTCGACAGGCACAGGGCCCTTCTTTCCGCTAGGAACCTCTAGCACTGTGAAAGCACTCTGCGGGACCGCCTGCCATTGGCGGGCAAGGTACACCGCACCTCGCTGGCCCGACCCATACCTACTAAGTACCAAAGAAAGCGGAAGAAAAGCAAAACACCCGCCTAGAAGGCCAGGACCCAAGGAAGCGCCGGGACGGTATCTTTAAGCCAAGTAACCCAATGCATCTTTTTGCGCCATGTACGTGTGCCCAAATCAAGACAAGAATAGGGTAGCGATGCAGGGAGGGATGAGCACAGTAAACACCCGCTGAAGAAAGAGTAGCCTCTCATCAAGTGAGCGAGATGAAGCTCTTGCAGGCGAGAAGCACAGACTGGCTAGTCTGATCTGGAATGTTGTTGCACATCGGATTTATGAGCCAGCTTAGGGTGATCTCCTCAAATATCAGCCAAATATTATTATCCAATAGGTTGTTAATCTCGGCCGAGGCTGTGCTTCTTCAAACCAGACCCAAGGCGACAACCCCAGCAGGTAAAAAAGGGGATCCGGTTCACTCCCCAAGGCTCTAGGATGCAGGAATACTAGTTTATGTAGTTTACATACCAACCAAGCTGTGGAAACGGACCCATCAGCGAACCGTGGCGGCGGGAACATTGCCTGCCGTGATTTCCAAAGATGTTTCTTGTTTCTTGTTTCATGGAAGCCTAAGGCCCAAGCCATCTACAGGCAGCACGATGTGTACCCGGAAGCACCTTGAGAGAAAGGGAGGAATGAACAGTGTGGAGGGCCAGGCAGCTTCAAAGTGCAGACCAGAACCGCCAATGCTAGCCAGCCCATTCAAACCCCTGTCTGTATCTCTTTGCCCACCTTCGCGAAGAGGTGGGTGCGTTGCCAAATGTAATGTACTCTGCACTACTCCCTAGCTTTACCCACCTTCATCAGACAGCTTCACCACACATGATTCCAGGTCACCATCAACACCAACAACAATTACTGTCCCCCATCCCGACACTAATTTAGGCAGGCGAATTTCTTCTTGATCTTAACGAAGAAAAAGAGAAAGAAAAAAAAGCTGAACGAAAGCGGCTTCGGCATGCGACTAATCTTCGCCACCGGCTTGATTCTGGCCTTCTGCCTAGACGTCGCCCACGCCAACACCGAAAAGGTCATCTTCCTCGGCCCAGACACGATGAACGTGCCGAATATGCCGCCGACCATTGAGGACCTTCGGCTGGATGTTCTCACACCTGATGATTGGACCAAGCGACTTGACCTAAAGGCTGCATTCCCGTCTGAGGACGCGCCCTCGGGAACGACCACTTGGTTACTGCTCAATGACCTTACTCGAGGCCAGCGTTACGAGCTGAGAGTTTGCTGGGCGGCCACAGTAAGACGAAAACTGCACGTGTCATCTGGCATCATATGCTCATTACAGACAGCAACCCACAACTTTCACACTCGATGTCTTTGAATTATCTACTGTGTGGGATACACCTGAGCTGATTTCGTCATTGGCGACCTACGCGTTTTCCCGCCAGCTAGAACAAGACAACTCTGACGCCGAGGACAAGCCAATGCAAAGAAAGACGCACGAGCATAGAGCTTCGCTGCTCTTTCTCCGAGTTCTGGCGACAGCTGATTACTTCACGGACAATGCCACACTCATCGCTCAAGCCGAGCCTGTCAGCGTTGACCTTATTCTCGACCCGTTCTTGCTGAATGCTTTACCACGGTCATTACTGCCCACCGTTGTTTATATCGTCGCCGTGGCGATCTTGGCTTGGTTTCTATCTAGACGCATTCTTGTTTGGATTCAACCTGTGCTCGCCGCAGAAGGCAAGTCCGCGGAAAAGAAGAAGAAGAGGCTATGAACACGAAACTACCGTATCGCGTCGCCTTCTCCGCGCATTCATGTTTTGCTCGAAACGTAAACAAATTCTAACGACAGGAAATCCACTGCGTACAAATGATACCATGATTTCTTGCACTTAACAGACACCCAACACTCGTCGCGCACCCCTGCCCAAAAGCAGCCAAGGATTCGAAGAGGGGATATTCAATCTAAGCGCCTTCTCAGTAGGCATGCTCTACATTTCCCTTGAGCATGTTTATCCATACATACAAGTGTCAGAGCTCAGACGCGGGAAAGACCTCGAAAATCGTGTCATGCTGTACCTTGCTCTGCAGGACCGTCTCAGCAGCGCTCAGTAGTGGTTGCCGTAATTAGGGGTCTGTTGAGACGGGTTGCTGCCGTATGATGCTTGACTTGGGTATCCTCCAGCAGGGGGGCCTTGAGGGGCGCCGCCGCCGTACGTTGCTGGGTTGTATCCTCCGTACTGTGGCTGCTGTTGGTGCTGCTGGTTTAGCGGCGCACCATAACTAGGCTGCTGGCCGTACGAAGGTCCACCAGCTGGCGGAGGCGGGTATGATTGAGAGTGTGACTGTTGAGCTGGCGCGCCGTACGAGGAATTGTGGTGAGGTTGGCCATGGTTCGGCGGAGGAGGGTATTGATTAGGCGGCGGAGGATATGACTGCTGTCCGTGGTTCTGGCCCTGATTCGTCGCTGGCGAGTGGTAGGAAGCACTTGATGGCGTAGACGAGTGCTGGTTGTGCGCAGAGGAACCAGGAGGCTGGTACGAAGTGGGAGGAGCCTGGCCGGTGTAACCGCCGCCCCCGCCGCCACCACCACCACCAGAAGCATTGTTAGAGTATCCGAAGTCATTGCCCTGGAAGCTGAAGTCAGTAATGGGCGCTGAATGCAATCATCCGCTCCAACATACACCGTGACTTTGCTTGCCGCCACCAAACATGTTGGCCACGCCTCCCATAAGGGAGCCGGCGAGGCCCCCATGTTGCTGTTGGTGGCCTGAGGACTGGCTACCATGGTAGTTTTGCTGTTGCGCCTGATGCGGCTTGTTCCCGCCCGCAAGCAGACTTGAAGCTAAAGAGCTGCCGATTTTGCCCAATGAACTCTTGCCTCCGCTGCTACTACCTCCCTGGCCGTTGCTATGCCCTCCAATGCCGCTCATCAACTGACTGGCGAGGCCCCCCAGGGGGCTAGAGCTGTTATGATTACCCGAGGAGCCGTGGTTCGAGTTCTTGCCTCCGAGAAGCGCGTTCATTGCCATGCTCTGAAAAGATGATCGAGTCAGCAACGGAGCATCAGTAGAACTCAAATGCGACAAATACCGCATAAAGGACCAAGATACGTGTGGGCAAAGAGGTAGAGAGCCGAGAGCAACATACTCCGAGTCCACGGTCTCCCGTCGGACCATCGATACCCCTCGTGCTTGTAGTGTCGGGGGGCAAAGAGGGGTTAACGGGCTCGAGAGTGCCATCGGCATGGCGCACCGTCTGGCTGCCGTCAGGATGAGTAATGACCTCGGGCTGCGGAACGCCATAAGGATGATCAGAGGGCTGAGAAGGCGTTGCGCCTGTGGGCGCGGCATCGGTCGGGGTCTCCCATTGCGATACGCCGGTAGAAAGCTGCACGAAGTAGTACTTCTTGCTCGAACCATCCCACTGGGCAATCCAGCCAGCAGGGAGATGTGGCGGGGCGAACGTGGGGCCCTCGGTGCCCGGTGAGGCTGGCCCTGCCATCGGAGAAAATATGGGAGTCGTCGAGTTACTAGGACGTGAGATAGGAAAGTCAGCACGCGCTGAGGGTGAGGATGCGGTGCGGAAGAATCGACAAGAGTTGGGCGTGTGATGTTGGATGCTAGAATTGGCGGGGGAGGATGCGGATGTAGGTATGTATGGATACTGCACTTTACGGATCGGTGGTGGACGTATTGGGCTACTACGTATCGGTGCAAGGTGGGTGCTCCAGGCCAAAGGCCAGGTCCAGGAGTCTAGGGTCTTATAAGGTTGTAGAAGGGTCCAGTGCTGCGCTCGAGAAAGGCTCGGACAAAGTGCAGCCACAATCAATACTGACACAGGCACAGACAGGCGCGTTGGTCTTGAAATGGGCAGGAGCATCCCAGCATTGCGAGGGCTAAATGCTTGGCTATCCAATATTTATTTGGGAAATCGGCGTACGGACATGAAGTGGCTGAGATATCCGCCGTGAGGGCATGGACGCGCGGTAAAATTGCCCAACTCAACCAGGTTAGTATACCTTACCTGGCAGCATCGATCAGCTGGCCGAGTAGATATACCCAGTCCAGCAAGTCCGAGTGCTGCCGAAAGTACTTCTTTTCATAACAGCAGCCCAGATGGGCTTGGCCCCAGTTGGGCAACAAGCCGATGCCACCAGAGCAACCGAGTCGATATAGATAGGTATTATCTCTTATGCCTTAGGTGAGGTTGGGTGGGTAAGAGTTAGGCGCTGGTGGGCGCTGGTGGGGTCAGGTTTGACAAGGACAAGTCTGTCTATGAAGATGAGATGCAATGCGACTAAAATGCGCCTCCTAATCCCCTCGTTAGCCTTATAGATGATCAATCCCAATCGAGAATGAAAGAGTCAGACGACAGACTTTGTACGCGAAGTCCTTCTTCACTGCCTGCTTTCGTGATGACGAACACCTGGCACAGCCACAGCAGAGTCGCTGAAGTTACCGAGCCACCTTCTTTCTGCTTGGGCTGTCTGTGGTGGGCGGCCTCTGGCGGTCTCGCTGGGGCACTGGCAGGCGGACCGCGCCCCAGCCACCGGCCTTGGCCAACCCAGAGCTTCATCATCCATGTATCCGTATCAGCCACAAGTAGAAGAAATCACGTATAGCTCCAGAGGCTACCCAGACCTAGGGGGGTAGCAAGTAAATAGCCAGTCGCTTGGAAGTTGTGAACGTCGGAAGCCCCTATTACTCGTGCCCTTTGGCATCTACCGTATTTTGGGTTGTGTTGCACATTCAATTTGTCCCACCTCTAATCAGAAATAAAGTATGTGCCGACCGAGCGGCTACGAACGACGTTGGGCAGGCCCTCATTACTTGCCCTTCACTGCCGCCTGTGTTGGGACGTAAATATATTATAGTGTATCGAGGCCTTCCAAATCGATATCCATGCCTCGGCCGTGTTCAGTTCGTAACCACGTCTACACAGGATGGTTCTAAATTGCCTTGTGCAGACAGACAGGCAGATGTATGAAGACTCATCGAGAGGCGGGAGCAACAACAGGAGCAGGAGTAGATGTGCGATGTTAGTAAACATAGAGGCGCGGCCCAGCAACCCTTGGCAATGCCCTTTTGACCTCGCCGACCCTCGGGTTGAGCAGGCAACTGCCACTGGCAAAAAGCAAGTCCATCATCAATGCTCTGGGCGTTGCTGAGAGATTACACCGATGAGGTCTCTATTTCACGAGGGTCATTCTACCCTCTTCCAGGACTACAGCCCACAGTACTGTGCGCGTGCACATTAGAACACTCGCATTCAGGCCGGGAACGACGTTGGCCCGGCAGAAGGGGCTTGTTAATCATGAACATGGGGAATGGCCCAATTGAAGTCATCATGATGAAAACACTCATAGGAGAATGAGCGGGCGAAACTCAAAGACGATGCTAAGAAGCACCGCCCGCATCGCAAACTGCAAGCCCTATAGAACAAACCCTGCGGTTCTAATAATTTCCGTTCCTGGCATTGTCATGTCTGCCTTTGTCTATTTGTGCCATGCAATCTAGGTATATCCTCCTTGTGTCGTAACCCCAAACAGACCAGAAAAAGCAAGGCGCCATCATTGATGAAGTTACCTCGTGACAGATTGATACGTCAAGTACCATGCATGCAGACTGCACATCTCATACAGGCCCCAGTCCGGATGAGCCTAAGGAAACCCACCCTGGCCTTCATATGCCCATCAGACGCCGATAACCCCATCAATAAACACTCCCCTGTATACTCCTGTCCTCTTTCTCGGCCCGCGCAAGGTCGTCCTCGTCCGCCTCAGAGCCCAGGTCGCTACTATGGGTGTCACCAAGACGGTTGGCGCGTGCCCCTCTCCGCATCCCGTTTGCGTCGTTCTCGTTAGGCTGCTCGTCCTCGGTGGTCGGTGTCGCGGTCCCAGTGGCCGGGCTGACTATGTTGTTGGTACTAGCATTAGTCTCCCCAAAGATATCGCTGTTTGAGATGACCCTGATCTTGGTGACGGCGGTAGTTATCTCGGGCCGGTGCCCTTCCTCCTCCGACGAGTCCGTATCGCTACCAGCAATCGACGTGTGTCCTGAGTATGTGCCGCCAAAGTCGCGGCCGACATGCAGATGCGGTGATATCATACCCCGCAGACGACGGTCTTCGGCGGAGATGAACGATGGCGTACCGTCGGGTGACGAGACGACCTCTTGACGCGCGCGGGTGATGTCAATTTGCGGAGGCCGGCCATCACCGTCGGTTCCTTCGTCTGAAGTGTAACCCTGCTCGCACCGCTTGAGTTGTCTCCGTGGTGCGGGGGACTGCCGCCGGGAGTAACCGTTGCCTACTGTCCCGTTGGAGGTGACCTCGTCGGTCTGGCGGAGGGCTTCCAGGTCATCACGTCTCTGGTAGTGATTCTTGTGGTCACACCCGTTAGGACAGCCACCCCAACGCCGCGTGACGATAAATGTCTTACTGCGTTCGAGAAGGGTTCCCGCTTTGGCATCCTTGATCGATCGTCCTTCCTCGCTCCGCTCCTTATCTTCCTTCTCCTTGAGCAGAGCCCGCTCCTTCCGCAGTTCCGACCATGTTCGGAGTTTGTTTTCGAGAATGTATTTGCCGCTCTCTTCTTGCTTGCGCATGATGAGGAACTCGCAGTGGTTGACGTTACGCAGATCCTCGAAGTATTCGACGGTGAAGTGGTACCACTTCATAAGGAAGACGCGCGACATGAGCCCGTGTGTCACTAGATAGTCAGCACGCATCCCCCATCAAGAATCGCGCAACTCACCCAAGACACAGACGCTGGCGAAGTCGTCCTCGCCAAACTGGCGCCACAGACTTTCGTTGAAGCCGCTAACTCTGTCGTAGGCGTCTGCGGCGCTCTCACCGTTGGGGATACGATAAAAGAAGTGTCCGTAGTCGGCGCGTTCCTGCCACATGCGCTCCATTTCCGCGGAGCAAGGCTGAAAGTTGCCGAAGTCCTGCTCACGTAGACGAGGCTCTTCGTATACCTTGATGTTGGATCGCTTGAAGGGCGAGGGATCCTCCTCGTCGGACGTCAGCGTCGACAGGATGCCCTCAGTTGTCTCGCGAGTGCGGCGGTAGGGCGACGTAAAGAAGTGGAGGGTGTCGTCGGCACGCAGCAGCTTGCGCAGGCGGCGCCCAGCATCGTAGGCTTGTTGCCAGCCGTCTTGTGTAAGCTTCACTCGGTGGTCAGGGATCGTCTGGTGGATTTCGCGGTTCTCTGAGGTACAAGGTTAGCCGTTGGAGCGGATGCCTAGACAGAGAAACATACTGTTGCCCTCGGACTGAGCGTGCCGGATGAGAATGATAAGCCTTGGTTTAGCCATGGTGCCTGTGGCGATTTGTAATCGGTAGCCGAGAAGATGTAGCGAGAAAGACGCGAAGGCTGGTGGGATGGGAGACGAGGGTGTCTTATTTCCCAGGTGTCATTCAGAGCTCAGCAAACTTGGAGTCGCAAATCGTAGCGTTGGGAACCTTGTTTGATCGGGGAAGCGTACTATGTAAGGAGAGAAATGAGGCGGGGCAGGGCAGAGGCTAGAGACTCTGATGGACGGCTGCGGGTGCTGGGGCAGCCGTTGTATGTGTCGCTTTATACTAACCTTAACTTTCGGCGGGGGGCACGGACGGGAGGGGGATGTGCCTGCTTTAGTGGTGCGCAGATGTTTCTGACCAACGGGTTGAGTAGGTTGAGATGGGCTAAGTTTGGGTTGGAGGTGCAAGGAACGCAAGGCGTAGCAGGGAGTTGTTCAGGTGGGATGGAATCAGTCACAAGTTTGGCCCGACGTGTAGGTATTTGGCTTGGTTTAGGTAGGTACCTAGAGAACCATAATAGGCAGATAGTCCTGTACATCAATCGACGGCGTACCTAGTCTCCAACCCCAACCTCAACCCCCCCCCCCCCCCCCCTCGTGTGCCAGGTATTTTTGGCCGCCATTTTGGTGGCATGGCGATTTCTCACATACCGTACGCACTCGTGAGATTCGTCGACCACTAGTGAGCCGGCTAACGGCAATAGGTATCGCGGCCACTATAAGAGGTATAGTGTGCTGGCAGAAACAGGGATCTATATATACCTATTTTCTTACGCAACGGTTGTGTACGTACTAAAAGCAGGCTGGCTAGTTGGCAACGAAGGGTAGATAGTCTGACCGCCTTCTATAGTAAGATTAGCGCCATGGAATTCCACTAGCTGCTATCAGTAAGACGCTAGCTATATACAGCTAGCCGGCTCACTAGTGGTCGACGAATCTCACGAGTGCGTACGGTACACGAGAAAGGACCCCTCGTCCCACCCGAGGCCTATGAAAGTCAAAACGCCCACACGCACACAAGTTCTTGAATCGGAAGCCCTGTCATTTATCCCAGCGGCATGGCCGACCCCCCTTCTCCATTCCAACGCAGCTTGTTCCATCGGGAAACCCCCCTGCCGGCTCCTAAAGTTTTGCTCTCCAGCGGGGTACACCCAAGGATCTCAACGAATATGGCAGCCAACCGGACGGGGCTCGAGCTGGTGACTTGAGACAGGGAATGGGCCTCCCCCTGATTGGCGCACTGACCTTCTGATCCGCGACGAGGCTTACGGCATCACTGTGGTGCAATCGTCCAGAATTTTCCCATTCTACACTACCTAGCCAGAGTACCTATTTGCTCGTGATGCATTTGCTTTGTGATACAATGTGCAGTACTCCGTACCACTTAGGGATTGGGCTGGGCTACAAATAGCGAATGGTAACGGCAGGGATTCTGTTGGATGTTTGGCTGCTGCAGTCTGCTCAACCTTTTTTTCTTCTTTCCTCTTCGCCTCTCATGCTAAATGTTCATCTAATCGTCGACTTGCCGCCGGACAAACCCCTTACACTTTGTACGTCGGTGGTTTCCCCCACCTCACCCACACATCACCCCAACCATTCCATGTAGTCGCTCGCTTCAGCCTTTCCCGGAGCAGACATCTGAACTACAGCCGCCCGCCGACCGCCGCCGCCACCCGGAGCTCTCATAGCCGCCGACCGACCGACCACTCTCAGCAAAGGCTGTTCACAGCCACTCTAAAAGCGCCAATCTTTGCCGTTTCCTCTTAACTGCACCCGCCCTACCATCACCTACGGAAACACGAGCGGGGCATCTGGGCAATCATATCGCACCGCAATCCCAAACACCTCGGTCCTCATACGAATCAGCTCATTCCGTATCCAGCCGCATCCAGCCTCGGCCCATCGTCATTCGACTCCAATCTTAGCCTAACAGCCCTGAGCCAACGGCAGCACCCCGCAAAACCAACCTGCCCATCGAACACTTTAAAAAAAAAATTAAAAAAAAAAATTACAACCACCATGTCCGGCGAGGGCCCCGAGTCAATCCCCACCTCGGCCGACCCGCGCTCGCGCCGCCCGACAAAGAAGCGTGCTCTGACGCCCGTCACCGAGCATGCCAAGCACCTCGAGTCCCTCTTCTCCAAACCCGACCAGGAGATCCGTCTCCCCCCTGCTTCTGGGGCTGTTGTTAAGCGTGCCGTCGCCGCACCTCCCGAGATTGTCACAAACGTCCAGGGCTCCAGTGCCGGCGCGGGCTCCGGCGAGTTTCACGTCTACAAAGCCAGCCGCCGCCGCGAGTATGACCGTCTACGTGCCATGGACGAGGAGGTCAAACAGGAGAAAGAGAACGAGGAGTTTGAGCGCCTAAAGGCCGAGCGCGCTGCCCGCGACGAGGAGCGCACAAGGAAGAATCGCGAGAAGCGGGAGAAGAAGAAGCAAAAAGGGAAAAAATCTCTCTCCGCGAAGGGTCCCGGTGGCGCTGTCCCCGACGTGAAGGTGATGGCGCCGACAGGCGAGGGCAATGATGCCAAGGAGGAGAACGGAGATACCAAGGACACAGAGACTACATCAGGGGAAGCTGCCCAGCCTGCTGGGCTCATCATCCACGACGATGACTGATTCATCTTGGACTTGGAGCTTGAACATGAGCTTGGCATCACCAAAAATAACATCAGACCAAACACCACACGGGTGGGTCCGATCAACCGACGGGAGCAGTCAATGGTTGACAAATTGTTCACAAACAACTTGATCCCGAGAATTCGTCGTCTAGGTAATTTCTAATCCGTGTCTATGCCTTCGTACAGGGTATGACCTTTTTTTGTCTTTTCTCCTCCTTCATCATACTCATCGCCTCTCGTTCCGAAATACCAATTAGACTGACTTCATCAGGCTCTTATTCGTCGCCGCCGTGCAGGCCGTTGCCCATTTGCGCCGCCTTCCTGGCGCTGCAAATGTCGTCTACTCTGAGGAGCAAACAGGCGGACTGTAGGTGTTAGTGTGTGTAGTGGTTAAGCTTGTAAACAATGTAAACATACCTCAATAGCCGTCTTGATGCTCTGTAGTTTGATGGCCTCGGGCTCCCAGACGCCGTACTCCTTCATGTCCGCAACAACACCAGAATCGCCGTTGATGCCCCAAGAGTGCTTACCTTCAGCATGCTTAGCGCGCAGATCCGTAAGCACCCTGACGGGGCTGGCGCCGGCGTTCTGGACGAGGGTACGGGGAATGACCTCAAGCGCGTCAGCCACGGCTTTGTAGGGCCACTGCTGGACACCCTCGACGCCCTTGGCGAGCTGGCTCAACCGCACAGAGACGGCCATCTCGGTGGCACCGCCGCCGGGGGACAGCCTGGGGTTGAACATGACGTTGCGAGCAACGCCCATGGCGTCCTGGAGATTACGCTCAATCTCGTTCAGCACGTCCTTGGACGGACCACGGAGGAGCACTGTGCAGGCCTTGGGGTTCTTGCACTTGGTAAGGAAAGTAAAGTACTCGTCGCCAATCTTTTCAATCTCGAAAAGCCCGCAGAGCGTACCGACGTCCGAGTCCTGCAGGTCGTCGACGCGGTTGACAATGGTGGCGCCCGTCGCTCTCGCTATCCTGTTGTTGTCTGTCTTGCGGACACGACGCAGAGCCGTGACATCGGCCTTCATGAAGTAGTGCTGGGCAAGGTCTGCACTCATTAGCCATGTTCTCCAAACGCAGCACTCAGCTTACCTGAGACGCCTTTCTCGGTGATAACAAGATCCGGCTTCAGGGCCAGAATGGCCTCGCACATGGACTTGACCTGCTCCTCCTCAATCTGCAGGATGCGGTTCCAGTCCTCCTCCTTGGAAATCTCAATGTTGGTTTGCGACTCGCCCTTCTTGTACTCGAGGGGGCAATCAAGCAGGACGATTCTAGGGTTCTCTATTCTCCGGCGCATCTTAGGGTGGGTGATGTCCTTGTTGAGCATAACGCCATCCAGCACTCTGCTGTCCTCGATCTCTCCGCCAGGAACCTTCTCCACGCGTGCGTAGCGCTTAATATCCACCTCGGTCTTTCCATTACCAGCCTCCCAGGTAACGGTGCGAACGGCGCGCAAGGCCAGGTCGCACATTAAGTCAGACCATCTCGAGACAAATTTGGTCCCAATCGAGGAGGAGATGAGACCGCGCATGGCCATGTCGTCGTTGACGTCGATAGGAAGGGAGATATCGTCGACGATCTCGAGAGCGTCCTTGAGCGCCCGGCGGAACGCGGCAATGATCTGAACGGGATGAATGTTGCGCTCTAGTTGAGGCAGGGACTGCGCGAGCATCTCGCCAGCTGTACGGGTCAGTCATGCTTTATAAGCGGTACACAGAAACCTTACCCAAGATGATGACCGTCGTTGTGCCGTCGCCGACTTCCTCGTCTTGTGTCCGGGAGAGTTCAATCATGCTCTTCGCTGCGGGGTGCGAGACCTCGATCTCTCTGAGAATAGCATGGCCGTCGTTGGTCAGAACGATGCCGCCCATGGGATCTAGAAGCATCTTTAACATGGCCTTGGGGCCCAAGCATGATCGAATAATGTCGGCGACACTGCCAGAAGGGTCAGTGATAGTCAGTAGTAGCTAGGAATAGCACCGTACGTCTTGGCTGCAGCGATGTTGGACAGTTGGGCCTTGCGACCCGTCTGCCGTTCACCGCTCTGGGTGTCTGGAGAAGATGGTTAGCACTGGTGATATGGAGGGGGTAGCTTGTCCAAGCTCTAGAAGGAGGGGCTGCCATACTCATAACCACTACAGGAGCCTGCATGATGGGTGACGACGGTTCCGATGGCTTGATGAAAAATTGGTGCCGTCTGGGGAGTGTCTTTCGGCGAGGAACTTCACCGTTGCAGAGGAAATCGTAGCGATGGCGGGGGTGTTGTTGCTGCTGCTGCTGCTACTCCTAAGGCGCTGGGCTTCTAAAAAGTTCGCTGGGCGGGTTCATTTTTTGGCGGGATGAAGCTGGGGCGCGGCGGAACCATTTCCCGGCTTCACCGAGATTCACCTTGGTTCTGGCGTACCGAGGCCCACATTAGACGACATTGCAGTGGTTGTCAAACGACGAGCCCGGGTTCATCATTCGCCAGTTATCATTACTGTAGTATTGGTATGATGATCTCATGCTCTGGCCGCCGTGTGGATGTAATGCCTCACCAAGGGACAAAGTTGTCAGCGAAAGGTCGCAACGAACCGGACCTGTGGGCTTGATCAAACCCCTAATTCTAACTATTTTCTCTCTATGTCAAAGACAGTACGGGGCATACTTCGAGTGCAGCCGTGTGACCGGTTCGGCAGGTCTTGCCTTGTGCCGGCAGCCAACAGACAGAGTCTAGAACTTCACTTCGTTGCGCAGCCCGGAATCCTTAGCACGACAACTTCCACTGCTACTGGCGCGCCCCTTCCCTGCATCCTGTGCCCGGAGCGGGTGCACGAACGGAGATAAGCCAGTCTGCGGTACCGCTGTCGGTGTTCGCGCAACCTCCTGAGACATCTGGACGCTGGGTCCAACCTTATCCCATTCCCCCTCAAATGTGATATCCACAACGCAATCATCTCTGGCCATGGCGTCCTGGAGAGACTTCCACCGGGCCTTGTCAACTTCTGCTGCCGAACGACAGCGCTCCCAGAATTCGTGCTTTCGCATGGCCTTGGTGGCGTTGCTGACACGGCGATCGGTCTCCTTCCACGGCAGGCCGTTGACGTTTTTCACGAAGAGAAAATCTTCAGTGCGATTGGCAAAGGGCATGCACTTTTTTGATCCAGTCGCGAAGATAGGAACACCGTCACTGCACAATCTCAGCCTTACTCGGTATGCGTCCGTTCCTCGACCGTGGCCTTGAACCGTAAGCCTCTTGAAATTTCCCAGTTGTGGGGATCTGCTTAGATTTAGCCGTTCGTCGAATTTCATCAGGTTTGTCGTTATCGAGACTTTGTCATACGGCGCAGAAATCTTGAGGTACGAGCACGGCATGGGTATCAGCTCAGACGGAACTGGACCGGTTGCTTGGACAAGAGGCCTAGACATTTCGATACATATCCATCTGCGCTTCCTACCGTTGATGTCGGTGCTTGAGGAATGCGTCAGTGCCTGATCCGCAAGGAACGGGAAGCGTAGACTCACATGTCTAGCTCTGTCATGGAAATATTTCCGTCTATGCCATCTTGGAAGAACATCTCCGTGCTGAAACTGGCCCTGTAGTCCTCGGCCGTGGCGGTGATCAGCGGTGGACCGGGAAAGGTCCGGTACACGTCGTCTACCTTTTGGAAGTGCAGATACCGGATTCCACGCTTCTGGTACCCGTTCGCCTCCATCGATTTGCCTTGGAATGCGCTGAAGCTCATGCCCATTGCAAAACCGTGGTATTCCTGTTGCCATTCAATATTCATGATCTGGCCAGGTCGTCGTCGAGCCACGAGGCCAGGAACCGTATGGATCTGCTTGCTCCGTGGCCGTATAACTGCCGCTAGGCGTTTATGTGCACTTTCACTATTGATTGTGAGTGTGTTTCAATTGCCATTCCGTCTGTGACTTACACAAATCGAGACTTTGCCAAGAAGTGCTCGATAAGTCTTTTCCTCTCTTCGGGATAGTCATACCTCGGCTCATACATCGTCTCCCTGAACACAGATTCCTTGACTGGAAACCTGTACATCCTGTCTTGCAATTCCACATCTTGTACCATGGTTTTCTGTTGCAGGGAGGATGAAGAACCTCCAAGGCCCCGATCATGGCACGGAGTGAACTCGAGGTGGCTCATCTCGTTTTGATCCGAAGATAGCTGACGGTCTGTGGCGTGCCCAACCTGAGTATTGAACTCTAGCGTCTCACGGAAGGATTGGCTAAACCCCAGATAAAGCTTCTCCTTTACACTCATGTCATTGCGAAAACCAGTCATTGTCGCGATCTTATAGCCAGCCCGAGTTTCAACCTCAATATCTGATGGACTTCGGCTGAGAAACGATATTCCTGTAGGGACTGTTAGCCTTAAACTTTTCTTGGGACGGGTTGAATCTCACGGTGAGAAGAGACTTCAGGAAAGAGTGGTTTCCAAGTCGGCCCCGATAGATATGCTCTGTGGTCTATATCATAGGATCAGTATCCGGGTAATTGCGAGGAACAAACCTAAATATCTCCAGAGGGCTGCCAAATCCTGTGTCCTACCTATGTTCGTAACTGCCATGGTTCGTCTGCGCCATACAAATTTCAACGGCGGCTGTTCCAAGTCCAAATCCGGGGCTTCCGTGGACTCAGTAAACCCCCCAATAGAGGGCTGATCGATACGTTTTCTCTTGGTTGCGCTCTGCTCGACGTCACCCGCGTGCCTCTTGTAACTGTGATCCCAAGTAAGCACCATATTCGCAGCCAGGAGCCTGTTCCCGTGTTGAATGGTCGAGGATATCGAGGAAATGAATTTAGCAAGGTATGAAAGATACCTGAATAGGCAGGCTTGTGGTGAAGTTGGGGCTGGGACAAAGTCGTGGTTCGGCTCTTTGACCTCGGCTTGGAAGGTCTGCGCAGTTGGAAAGAGATACTCGCCGTATGCCGTCAAGGACTTCGAATATTTCATGAAAGGTCGGTCTCCCCCATCGGCCATTTCTCGTCTTAGGTTGGAAGAAGCAAAGAGTTTCTGTATATCCAATTTGAAGGCCCCGTATCATTTGTAGTCGAAGAGGGAAAGGGCAGTCGTGGATGTCAAAGATAAGGAAGCTACGATCGGCCGAAGGATGTTCTTAACATTGGCCTTATAAAGAAAGGCGTAGAAGAGACCGGAAAGCGTTCGGTGTCCAGTCGGATGTAAGGGACGGGTTGGATTGATGGGGCAATATATGAGGGCTTCAAGAGTAGTAGCCAGGAGGGAAACTGGGTGGGAAGAGCACTGTTTTTCAGTCACCCGGCTTAGATATTACCCTGTTAAGTGCAGTGTAACAAGCTCGTTGGTGCTAGAGCCGTTGGATGTTTCGAGAACAATAACGCAAGAAGGAGGCTGCGAAATTTCCACCTCAGGCAGTTGGGTCCAAAGAGCGTCGCATATTGGTCGAAGCCCATACTGGTACACAATCGTCACCTTACACTTCCAAGGATACATCAGTTTTACTTGATTCACTGGGATATCGTTTTCCACCACGATCACCATGTTTTTGTCTTCACAAGACTCGAAGCAAAACAACGAGGGCACCACATTCCTCATGCCTCCTCCCACGCAAATATGCTTCTTCAACCCATGTATCATCCCACCGAACCCAACTAGTTCGTCGCAATGATTTCGTATCCCTCTCCTGAATAGAACCAATGTCTGCAAGACGTGTACATATCGCCCTCTGACGACCGCCATGCGAAGAAGAAGCTAGTATATAACCCTGAACGGTTGTCCATCCCCCAAAAGACCCTCCTCTAAGGGTACGTCTCTATGATGGTTTCCACCTCGAAGCAGCTGTACATGGTGAGCAGAAAGGGCCATAATTAGTCATGCCGAACCCAAATGTTCCTATCCCTTGGAACGCCTAATCCCCAATAACCCATGCCCTGCTATTATAAACCCTTTTGTGTGTAATGTAAATGTCGCGCGTCTGTGGCTTAACCATACGACGGCGTCTGCACACCGTGGTGTAGTGTATGGTGGATCACTTCTGTCAGAAGAACTTGGACATCGCTCTGCTGAGGTCGATAAAGTCGACAGGCTTCGTGACGTAGTCGCTGAACCCGGCCGCTACGCATTTGTCGTGGACGTCGGACATGACGTTGGCTGACAGCGCAATGATGGGCAGTTTTTTGAAGCCCCTTTCCCTCTCCCATTGTCGGATCTCCCGACAGGCCTGATAGCCGTCCTTGCGTGGCATATGCAGGTCGCACTGAACAGTTAGCTTATGGTCTTCATTCAGAAAGACGGACACTTACCAGTATCAAGGAGTAATAGTTGTGCGAACGGGCTAATACCATGTCGGTGCACTCGACTCCATCTGCGGCCACCTCGACATCCACCCCTACCTTCTTCAGGTACTTTTGAAGGACTTTTTGGTTAACAGGATTATCCTCAACCAGTAGCACCTTATACCCCTTGTTGCCCATACGCTTGCCAATCTCCTGATAGCTCGCCTTCTGGGTCTCAACCATTCGCTGTGCTGTGGAGCGATTGCGGTCGATGCTTAGGTCGCGCACCTTGTCAGGATCGAAAATGACAGCGAACCGCGAGGGTTTGACCGGCTTGTATATGAACGTCACAATGTTCTCCGACACGAGCCTCTCGTACTCTGTGTCGGTCGCCAGCCTCATCACAGCCTGTCGCTGGACCGAGTCAGACAGAATGAGAATGGTCGTATCGCTGATTGTCGTCGATCTAGTGATCTGTTCCATCAGACCAATAATCTCCTCTGGGGACGGCAAATTGATGACAATATGCGTGAAGTTAACCGAGTCACCTTCCCCCAGCAGCCTCTGTGCCTTTTCAGTCGAATCTAGGGCGGTGATCTGATGGGGCACATCCTTAGGCAGCGTCATCTCAATGTGCTGTGCAGTGGCCTCACGGCTGTGGGTCTGCGGACAGATGATGAGGATGGAGTACATGGGCGGCTTGAATTCTTCAGTCTTGCCAGGCTTGGCAGTCTCTGGCGTTGGCGTCGTTCCTGGCGAGGACTCGCCCGAGGGCAGCTCCAGCTTCATCTGCGACAAGTCTTGGCCACTCGCGCGGGCAGCCTCACTGAAGTGGACAAGACCGACGTTGATCGATGACACGGACGTACGCTCCGTAGTTTGAGAGATGCTGGACCGCACCGAAGGATCCGAACTTCCGCTAGAAGCCAGGGCCGGTGACATGAACCCGGGATCGGCCCGCGAGCTAATGGTCGATGCTGCCCTGGGCGATTGTAGGGTTTTCACAGGACGATGCACGCTTAGCTCTTGGGCGGTCTCAGCAGGAGTGTCGAGTGTCTCTGGGCTCAAGGGTGCGTCGGGATGATCTTCCTTGGTCGGCAGAGCGAACTTGGCGGTAAAGGTAAACGTCGAGCCCTTGCCGGGGACCGCGCTTCCCTCCATCTTACCGCCGTGGAGCTCCACCAATTGCCTGGAAATGACGAGGCCGAGGCCACTACCGCCGTGCTGCCTTGTGCTACTGCCGTCGATTTGGCTGAATGGCTTAAAAATGAGGTCGGCCTCCTCCTTGGTGAATCCACGCCCCGTATCGATGATAGCAAACTCGAGCACAATCTGATTACCAAGGTTGGACGACGCTCCATCTTTGTAAACCCTACACCGGCTGAACACCTCACCCTCTGTCGTAAACTTGATAGCATTTCCGATAACGTTGAGTAGGACCTGGCGAATGCGGACTTTGTCGCCCTTGACCCACGCCGGCACATCCTCTTCGACAATGTAGTTCAGTTCCAGTCTCTTGGCAATAGCCATGGTGGACACCAGCTCATTGACGTCCTCGATGAGGGAGCGTGTGTGGAACCACTCATACTTGAGCTTCATCATACCGGCGTCCACCTTGGACAAGTCAAGGATGTCGTTAATGATCATTAGCAAGCTATTGGCGCTTGTCTGGATCGTGTTGGTGTAGTCGCGCTGCTCCTCATTTAGGACGGTGTCCTGCAGGAAGCTGACCATGCCAGAAATGCCAATAAGTGGTGTTCGAATCTCGTGTGACATATTGCTAAGAAACCTGCTCTTGGACTCCATAGCCTCCTTGAGCTTTGCCTCGAGCAGCTTGTGGTCGTTAATATCCGTGGCCGAGCCAAAGTACGAGCTGGCTCCGTTCCCAAAGTCGATGTTGTCAATCTCAACACAGCGGATCAGATGCCACCTGTATTCGCCGTTCTTGGACCGCAACCGTACCTCCGTGGTATACGAGAGTCTGCCATTGCTGTCGGTAGTCACCTTGATAACGCCCTGCCTTGCCAACATTGTGATGTCAGCGGTAGGCATCTCGTAGACCGAGCTGCTACTAGAACTGTTATTTCGCGACAGTGCTTGGTGGATGCCCCTAAGGTTCGTCTCCAGTTGGCTCTGCACTTTACTTGACATGACGCTAGCCGGCACTGCCTCAGATGGTTCTTGGTGGCCTTTGCGGTCGAATTTGGAAGGCATCGGGGTTGGTGGCCGGTCTGTTGGTATCTGACACTTGGCCAGGTCGTCGGGGTGTACGAAGTCCATGAAACCCAATCCTAAGGAGTCTTCAAAGCTCTGACCGGTGTATGAGAGCCATTGCTCGTTGGCAAACGTAATGCCTTCATCTTCGGTGGCAGTGAATATGATTTGGGGGATGAGATTGGCTAGTAATCTGTGCTTGGCTTCAGAGGCCTCAATCTCCTCTTGCCGTGCAGCCTTTAGCTCTGCGATGTGCTGGTCGTGGATATCCATGTATGAACCGAGGAACTGCATCATGACGCCCCGTTTATCGCGCGATGCAACTGCGCGCGCATAGAACCATCGGTACGCTCCATCAAACCGCCTGATACGAACAGTCCTCGAGAACTGCTCTCCAGTCCGCAATGAGTGGCTCCACGCCTTGAGGTATTCATCCCTATCATCTGGGTGAATGCTCCCCCAGGGGTCAGCAGCCAGGTCGGTGACCGTTTGCCCACGGTATGTCAAATAGCGACTGTTCACCCATACGATCTCGCCTGTCTGCGGTAGCGAGACAAACACGTGGGCGGGTAGAGAATCGAGTATGAGACCCTTCAGCCGGTCCGACGGCGGTGGCATATCAACCGGGCCTTGTGACAATGAGCCCGTCCGGGAGGGCGCGGCATGGGGCACTGGCCTGCTGACTACGCTAGAGCTGGGTGGTAAAGACTGGAAGCTAGTCGCAAAGTCGGCACCATATGAGTGCAACAGTGTGTGGTGACTGTGATCTCCGCCCTTGTGTTCGACTGGCTTGAGACGGGGTTCTAGCACGGCGATCTCGTCCAGGTAGTTCTTCAGCTCGTGTGAAAGGACCCGTTTGGCGCCTCCAGGCGTTGAAGCCTGGCTTTCCGTGTTCTTCTCTGCCACCTCTTGGCTCTCCCCGGGGCCTGAGAGGTTTCCTGGACACGGGGCCTGTGCGTCGCAGAGAGATGAGCTTGACGCTTGTCGACAGGAGATTCCCCCTTTGAACCCCTCCTCGTCGTCTGTGAGTTTGTTGACGACGATTCCACCCTTGACGGAGCCGATTTCTGTTTCGCGCTGAAGTAGCCATCGCTGCTAGTTTGCGCCGGACTGGTTGCCGAACCTCGCTTGTCGATAAGCTGGTGCAGAGAGCTCTGGTCCCAACCAGGCGTACCAATTGGGGAGCCAGTGGCGCTTTTGGAAATGCCAGAGTACTCGCTAGGGCTCGTAATGCTGCCCGCTAAGGAACCTTGGGCAGCGATGTCGTCCGAAGACATAAAGCTCAGGTTGCCGATGCTGGCAGGGTCCGCCAGTGGGCGGCCATCGGCTGCAAGAGCACCAAACCCGGCCGTGTGAGGCCTGCGGCGGTGAAGGCCGGTGAGCTCTGTCTCCAAGTTTGTGTAATGACGACACAAAGAGAAGGAGGTTGCCAGGTGCGGAGCGAGGTATTCCAGTGAATGGCGAAGGTTTGAGGGGTATGGGATGATGGGACTGAGTATCGAGAGGATGGCGATGGGTGCCGGCCTGTCTTTCCGCTGCCAGGAGGCCTCGGCATCGTCTTCATCTGCCGAGGGCTCCGGTGTCTCGTTCCAACTACGTGAATGCGATTTTTGTTCCAAGATTGAGTTGTTGAGCTTGAAAGGACGGGCAGGTTTTGATAGAAGCACGTGCGTCAGCGGAATGTGGAGAACGGTCCACGAATTGTCCACGCCGATGGCTTCTGGCGGCCGCATTCCGGTGTAGTCAGTCGGGGCAGAATCAGGGTTAAATGAGTCCTCGTCGACCATGGCGTCGGTAAAAAAGGGGTTCTCCGTAGGATCTGCACGCACCGCCGGCGAGGGGGCTGGTGACTGAGACCACGGGGATGGCGGGGCCTGCTCAAATTCTTCGTATGTGGGTGTCGGCGGTCGTGGCTCACCATCATCAAGCCGGGAGATCATGCTAGATGGTTTGTCACTGCTGTGGCTACGGTTCGAGCCGAATGATGAGTTTGCGCCGCCGAGAATTGACGACAACTTTGAGCTGGACTCAATCCTACCCTTCCTTAGTTTCTTCCTTGCTGCCTCTGCCGAGGTCGTGTTGGCCGTCACCTTGGACTTGATAGGCATCTCTTCCGGCAGATTCTGCAAATACGGATAGCTTCTCGTCAGTGCAATCACCTTGCCACGCTCGAGAACACGCATAACACCGCTGTGGTCGATAAGAGGGTCGGCCTCGTAGTCCAGAGCTTGAAGCACGGGGAGTACCCTCCCTGCGGTATTAGGGTTGGCTAGGGGGGCTTCCCAGCTCGGGATGTTCTGCTCCTCGGCATCATGTTCGGCGAGTGCCGACTTGTTCAGTGCTGGGCCCGGCGCCTCCATGTTTTGCTGGGACGCCTCGGCGTTCTCTTGCGACGCCTGACCAGGCGGGAAGTAGCTCTTGCTCCTGCCAAGCTGTGTTGGGCGGCGCGATGGTAGAAGCCTGTCATTGTTTCCCTTGCGTTCTCTGTTGTCCTCGTAGGCAGTGAACGAATGGCGTGTTTGCAGGCTCGGGCGAGACAGCAACCTTGGGCGCGTAGGATCCTCTGACGCGGAAGGAGTTTCTTCGGAGCCGACATCACCTGCGCTGCTAGGGATGAGACTGCTGCCTCTGGCCATGTACCCGAGGCTCAGTTCGTCCTCTTGGTGCTCGTTGTACGTTGCCTTCTGGCCCCAGGGCACATTCTCAATGTCGGTAGAGTCGGCTGGTACAGCAAGCGTGACTCGCTCAGCTTTGTACACGCCTCTCATGATCTGGACGACAGTGTTCCACCAGGCATCCAGTCCCGGCTCGGCGGTGAGCATTAGTGACAAGTCATATAGATTCGGGCTCGGAAAGTCGCCCTCCAGCTGACCGGTGGCTCCGGCGGGAAGAAAAGTGAGCGCCGATGCGGGCGTTGATGAGCCGGACAACACTCTATCCTGAGCGGACCCGAAGCCCTCAAACGACATAGTCTGCGACATGAAGGCCGCGGCAGTTGGTGACATGTTTCCAAACGCCCTATTTATTGAGCTGGGACCGTAGCCCGGGGTGTGCATGCGCGGAAATGGGTAGGACGGGGTGCCGGCGACATTTCCTGGCGCCATGCCGCCGCGGACGGTATTACCAGACTCGGTGGAAGTTGTTGTAAGGTTTGACAATGATGTCGACATGGCGGCAATGCTGCTGCGCGGCGAGTTACCACTCTCCTCCAGAATCGGTGACACGCGCATCTTTTCGGAGGTGGTCGCCGTCAGCCCTCTCGTCACCATCTCACGCCTCTCCAGATCTCGTGCCAATCGCTCTCGATATCGATTTAGTTGAATCTGTGATTCGGAAGGAGCAGGTTGTGAGAGGGCGGCGGTGGTCCCTGCGGCCTCGTCCTCTCTACTTTTTTCTTCCTTGCCGCCCAATCCACCAACATCATTGTAGGTCTGGAACGCGCCCACGCTGCTCTTCAAGTTAGTATCGGGACCAGGAGTCGCGAGTTTTGTCGCGGAGGGTTCGGCTCGCGCCTTGGAGCGGTCAGCCTGAGACTGTGAAGAAGACTGCTCCTTGGACGCATCCGACATTGCGACTCGCGCATTTCTACCGAGCTTGAGGGAGTCGAGAGTCAGTCCATAACGGGGGCTCGGCAGGTTGCGTGGCGGTTCTTTGGTGGGCGACTTTTTCGAGTCGGACGAGGTTCGTCTTGGAAGGCTAAGCCGACGCGCAGAGGACGAGTCTTTCTTGTCTGCTGGAAGGCTCGTGCTTGGCATTCCTCATATAATAGAGCGCCCCATATACAGATGATCTTTTTCGAAGAGCAGGAGGAAATTATTGATGCCGCTTCGAGACTAGGGTCGGCCAAGGTTGGACGGAGTGGCGATGGCGGCAAGCGTCTCGTGGTAGAGTCGCGAAAAGAGGAAGACGGCGAGGGGTTCGTCGGGAGAGGATGAGCAGTGGAGAGGGGGCGTTTTAGAAAATCCGATCGGTGAGGTTGCGGTTAGGAGCAGAGTAAGTGGCGATCCAACAGTCGAGGGAAAATGCCGTCGGGAGAAGCGCGCGGGGCGGTGGTGCAGGTCTTGATCGGTGCGGTTTGGTTTGGTTTGATAATTACTTGGTGGTGGTGGTGGTGGCAGTGGTAAAAGCGGTATGTAAGGTTGATGTGGTATGGATGGGATGTGCGTTTGGACTGAAGTGGTTTGGACCGAATGAGGATGGATGATGGGACAGGGACTAGGACTGGGTCTAGTGTACGGTACGATAGGAAAGGGGACAGAGAACAGAAGCACTTGTCGTATGTGCACCTCTGAGATAGAACCTGGCAGTCTCCTCCCTCTTTCTCGCTCTAGTGCATGTCTCTCAGTTTGCGGCGACGGCGGGGCCTGACGGTGACGGAGACGGTAACGGAGAACGGGAGGGGGGAGCAAAAAGGAAGTGAAGCGAAGAAAAGCACAGTAGCAGGGTGCGGGAGCGAAGGCAAAGCAGAGCCGGAAGAACAAAAATGGGAGGGCAGTCCACCCAGTACCTATGACGTAACACTGTCCCGCTGAATACCTACAAGAGGGACGACCCAGAGTGACTGAAGGAGGCGAACGGCGACGGTCAGCCTCAGCGCAGTAGTCAATGTCTCGGGTTTGCACGCGCAGCAGCATTGATTGGCTTGGGTTTCCTCACCCTCTCGTCACGGCGTTAGTCCAAGGTGAAATTATCGTAGGTGACCTCCTTTCCCGATCCATGAAATCGAGCTCTTTTCCAATGGCTCTTGAGCAGAAAATACCCAATTGCGGGCAGCCGTCCTTCCAAAGCCCCAATGCCAGATGTGAAAGGAGAGGGAGGAAGGGGAAGGGTTGAGGGGAATACTGCCAACAGGTGCTTCCTTGGAAGAATAAAGTGGTCGGGTGGGGACGAGACAAGTACCGGTACTCATGGTCCGCCTGGGATGTCGCACAGTTACACTACCTACAGAGTACGCTCACTACCTTTCGGCGCTCACCACATGATGGACCAGATGTTGACGGACAATTGATTATGAGCGAGATTTGTGCGTCTCATCTCGCCCAGTCAGGAAAATAGGTTTTGGGCGTCACTGTTTGGGCAGTAGTCGCTCCTCCATAAAGGCAATCCTGGGCGTTGTGGTCTTGACAACTGCCTGGGCCTGCAATGCGCGGGCATTCTGCCCACATCGAGATACCTTCCAAAAAATAAGCTCCCAACGCTGCTACCGCCCTCTCAGGGCTGTCTGCTAACAAGCGACCAGTTGGACCGAACCAGACATAATCTGGCCCATTGGAGCTCTATTGTATGCAGCCGTCTGCTGCAAGGTTGGGAGTACAACCTACCTAAACTATGTACAGGCCCCTGCCCAAAGCGCTTGGCCCCCAGTGAATGTCATCCAGTCAGAGTGTGCGCATCCAATACGCAGCTGGAATTACGTGCCTCCTTACGGAGTACACACTTGTACCTGTACTTATCCATGCACTGTACCAGTACATATCATGGTTTAATGTGGAGATCCAGGGTGGATACGTACTCCATTACATCACACAGTCGTCGCTACCGCCAGCCCCCCAGTCTCCACGTCCGGCATCCACTTAACCAAATCTGACTCCCCGTCTTTGTTCACACGATCGCAAAGTACTGAGGGAATCCATCATCCGTCATCCGTTACCTACTGCTCTGATGTTGGCCCAGGTCAACGCGATTCACCGTGCAGAAACGTGTGCCTTTAGAGCTGTGGTCTCGTCCAGCATGGCCCCATCTCCTCGTTCAAGCAGACCTATTCGTACCTAACTCTGTTTGTCTCTAGCCCGCACCGCCTGGCAAAGGCTTCTCGAGGGCGCGACACAAGGCTCCATCGGTATCTTATTTCCTCCGTTTCAAATGCAACTCCGTGGTAACACAGCCCACGCCACTGAGCCGCTATTGTTGCCAGGAATACCTTTACATCACCAGCTTCCCGCTGTCGCCTTGCATACATGAGGCGCCGGAATCCAACTACTAGCCGACCTCGTCCGACAGGTTGAACTATCCCCGGACCATGATTCCTCCGTTTAACCTCCAAGGCAGAGGCAACTTCATGACTCTGTGCCGCTCGCCAACAACACCTTGGCAGGGCCGTCCGAGACTCAATGCGGGACATTGAACACAAGTATCTCAGACGGAGACGCCCAGGCATCCGGCCCGGTTTAATACACCACGCGGCAATCGAAACCTTCAGAACTACGGTGTAGATTGTCCGGATCGCCCGCCTTGTCCATGGCACCCCCCCGTACACGGCGGCCCTCAAGCAGGAAAATGAGCCTCACTACCGATAAACTCTATCCCAGTTGCCCACAAAAATATCAAGATATGTTGCAACGTTGAAGACAGCCACATGTGTTCTTACAGCATGTCCACAACTAACACGATACCAAGACTACGCCCTACAGCAGACACTGGACTAGGTGCCCAACGCCCAGGACTGTGAATCCAGTCGCGCTGATGCCACCATTGTGTACTTGATTCACTCAAATCCCTGCACGAACGATACTCTCACGCGTGGGCTTCAAACTCGCCACGCGACCGGCCGCAGTTCTATGCCGCCGCTCCTATGTTTCCGATCTCGCAACTCAGCTCGCTGCTTCGCCGATGCAGCATACGGCAAGGTTTGCTAAGCCGTCCCACCTATGGGTATGGCAATGTCCGAGATGATGGTAGTCAAAGTGGTAGAGCTCCCGCCCCGGCTCCCCACCAGTGGTGGAGTGACGGGTTATTGGACGACACTGTTCGGTCATGTACAAGTCTTCGTTGACGACTTCGATCGAGGATGTGGGGTTTTGTGAACATAAACAGTCGATTGACTCCACTGCACCAGGGCAAGAAATTGGGATATGCCCTGACGAACGGTGAGATGTACCGAAACTTCATGAAATCTACAGCCTCCCCTACCGCCGACGTACGTGTGCACTGGCGTAGGTATTTTCTATGCTGTTAGTCACATAAAGACTGACAGCAGCATGATCATATTTGCAGACTGCACCCTTGCGGAGCGGCCGACCAGACCAGGCTGGCCTTGCTGGTGATCTGTTTTCGCTAAGGCAGTTTATTGCACCCAAACTTGTCAGCCTGTCGGCGAGTGTTAGAGATACTTCCCACAGAATCACGATCGTCAACGGACTCACTATTCGTAGAAAGCAGCTCGCAAGCGTTCACTGCCTAACCCAAGAAAAAGATTGCCATGGAGTGCAGGCCAGATCAAAGCATTCTGCCTACCTAAGGTCAAATTCCCATCTTTTCAACAACATCGCATACACTCACCCGCCACCTAAACGGAAGGATGTCCGCCATTTCTTGCCTGTGTCATTGGAATCTCCTCCTCCCACAGATTACTCGGCAATCCCTGGGGCAGTCTCTTAGATGACAGCCATCCGATGTCCACTTTGCATAGCGACTTTGACAGACCCGATTTCCAAGTGGACCCTTCTTCTTAATCCCCCAGCGTTTTTTTAGGCAGCGCCTCGTAGCAACGAGATGGTCTCCGAGCTAACGGACGCTGCTCCGGTTGGAAAGCGATTGGAAAGTACAATAAAAGGCGCTTGGACAATATCCACGACAGCAAGCCCGGCGCATGATTCGATCAGGTATTTGAACCCCAATGAGGCACATCCAGTTTCCGCAGACAACGCATGACCTGGCTAACCCCTGAGGCATGTCAATACCACGCTAAATGAGTGTTAAATGACGTAACGATGCATCATTAGCCAGGTGGCTTTCTCGATTGCGCGCTACATGTACTGGGCATCCTGGCCCAATGGAGCGGAATAGGTAGGTAGTTATGGAACTCGGTCCCTCCATCATCGGTACGTACCGTTTGGGGTAAATCATATTTATTTGGTTATGTCTTTTTTTATCTTTACTTTCTCGTTGTTGCATGTTCGAACCCCCTCCCCCCGTTAAAGGCTGCTCCGAAGGTTATCAAGATTTGTTCCATTTCATTGTAGTAATTACAGGCTGTCTCCAGTAGGCATAGTCCTGAGACAACCAACCGACCTTTGACATATTTTCTGCAATAACCCGGCAACGCTCGGGAAGCCTTCCCTTCGCCGCCGATGGCCCTGGTACGCCCTCCTGTTCGACACCCGAAGCAACCAGCGAGAGGTTTCGATGCAAATTCCCTTGTCTGGCTGTACTGATCGGCTTGCAGCAGTCTCGTATCACTAGCTCGTTCACTTGGGTTGCAGCATGCACACACACATTAGTAGACCCACTGGTTTAGTGCACATTCGTCCCCTCTGTTAAGCATTCTTGTCTGCTTAATCATCTTTGTTATTGTGTTGTGTCTGCTGATTACGAGCTCTCAGAAGGCCTTCCTCGCACTAGACTGTGCAAACCTGCCCAGAATACTGTGCCTAGCTAACGTGGCCGTTCAGACGGAAGCACTCGCAGAATGTTCTTCGTCCTCTTTGGCTTCGACTTTGGACGAACTAAGACAGAAGGGTTGAAGACGATCAGCGGTCTTCCTACCGAAAAACGTACTCCTCTCGCCATATACCTACGAAGAACGGGAGCGGGAGCTAATCCGTGTTGCGGAACCCACAGCGCGTTAGGT